AGTACTTGCCCACGGTGCATAACAAGTGCGTAAGAGACACAGGACCGACTGCCCAAGTGGCTAACGAGCCGATCAGTAGCAAAGAGGATAAAAGTAAAAAAAGTAATACCTGGTACTGTATTTACTCAGTAAAATCGTCAAGTTCACAACAGTTAATCATTCACATAGTGTACTGTAGACACACTGAATGGATGTCAGTAATCCAATTCAACCAGGGATATCTAGACCCACCACCCATGCCTACCCCTCTCCCCATTCCCTAGCCCCCCATTGTTTCTCAAACTTGTACACACTTTACAGCATGTTGGGATTAAAGAATACATTCGTGGACAATGTGTGTCTTGATGCCATTATACAGGATTAGGTTTCTGCTTCCCAGACTCCAGTGACTCCAGTAAGAAGTGTAAACAAGATGATGAATACCAGTAGATCATGCACTGAAGGTATAATTCTGTTGAGTCACTCGGTCAACCATAAAGTCATAATTATTAGATTCATTCTTTAATCAAGGACAGATCCAGAATTTTTTTAAATTAGTGATGACTGGTCAAGGATGGTCAAATGCTGAAGTGTGTGTGTGTGTGTGTGTGTGTGTGCGTGCGTGCGTGCGTGCGTGCGTGTGTGTGTGTGTGTGTGTGTGTGTGTGTGTGTGTGTGTGTGTGTGTGTGTGTGTGCGTGTGCATTTTGAACATGGGTTTAATTCATTCAAGTGTATACTGTACATGTACAGTACTGTATTTAGATTCTGTACAAGAAATTGCAAATAAACAAACATATACCCAGAATTTGCTTGAGTTTGGAGACGCATTTTATATGTGACAGACAAAAAAAAATGTTACAGTATTGTATTTTATGTTTTGATTGTTAGTATATGTATATGAAAGGATATTAGGGGAAGTTAATTTATCATAGTGTGTTAACCATTGTTACTATTCTCCTTTTCCTTTAGAGAGAGAGAGAAGGGGGGGGGGGGAGGAGCTCAGGGTAATAGGAGCACCCCTTGACTGTGCCCTGCACTTCACCCATTAGCTTACTCAGCATTGTTGATGAAATGTAGCAAATGAAGAATACAAATCATTAACAGTGAAAATGTTTGGGATCTAGCAAAATAGATATATACTGTACTGTACTGTACTGTAGTATATAAAATAAACTACCCTACATTCACTAATAAAGAATGGAAGAGCCACAGGTACATAAGTCTTTATTTACTAGAATAATTACACTAATAAAAAACTCACAAGACATAGGTATGCCAGCTATATGCGAAATGTCAATGTCTGTTGGTACAGCAGCCTTATGCATGGGCAGACTATACAATGATAGTTACTAAGATGGCCTTCTTTCTGATTAAAATAACTTAACCATTAACAACACAGTCCATCAGTATGGCTACCGTACTTTTTTCCTTTTTTTTACGGGGATTAGCCCACCCTTGCACAGGTCACCAACCCACGTTGAGGGCTGGGAGGGGGGGGGGTTGAACCATAAATGCAGAAATGAAAAAATAAAACAGATCAAGAGTGAGAAACAATATATTGTACAGTGTACTGTATATACTGTGTTGGCAAAGAAAGAGAAACAATTGAGACTAATTGTGTGTAAATGAGGCAGAAAGTCGTCAGATCAGCAACCTGGGACTTGGTCACATTTTTTGTGATGTCATATGGCAGTAGTGCCTAACATTAGACAACACATGATTCCAATATCTTCAGTATGGGTTTAAAAAAATACATACTGTATATTACTTGATCGTTTGATAATTCAAAGAATAAGTACTTCTGCCCCCTCAGGATCACACTAGTGAGTGAGGAGGAGAAATGGGAGGTTATTCGGCAGGCAAAAACTTCGCAAGGAGCGAGGCATCTCGGAGTGTATTCATTCATCCAGATCGCACGGTAAGGCAGAGGGAACAGCACAAGAAGCTCCTAATAGACTTGAAGCAGAGAAGGGAAGAGTCGAGGAGGAGTGGGGACGGGTGTGCATGGGTTTTATTCAGGGGGAGGGTAGTCGAAACAAGTGTGCCGACGCAGGGCCAGGGGGCAGCAGCGCACCCTCCACCAGCTCTACCCCCCACCCGGGAGGCGGCACCAGCACCGCCTACCAGCCGGAAGGAGGCGAGCGCCGTGCAAACAATGACATTTCTAACCACACCCTGCAAAATACAGTGTACTTAGCAAATGCTGCAGCTTCTGAGAATGGGGGGGGGGGTTACTACTAAGAGCAGAGACGTTACCGAGAACAAATTCTGGCTTGAATGTCATGTACACTAATACTGACACGTTCCTTGATAAGAGAGAGGAGTTTGAAACACTACTGAAGGTACACCAACCAGATATTGTAGGAGTTGTAGAACTGTTGTACAAGAACAGGAGAATCGACCCAGAGGAATGTGAGTTCAGTATTGCTGGATATGACTCATTTACGAACCTTTCTCAAGAAACTTGCAAGAGGGGTGTGGTTATCTATGCTAGGCAAGACCTTAGAGCCAGCCAGGCGAGGGTACAGGGAGAGGATGTTTTTGAAGAGTCCAAGTAGTGTAAAATTAAATTAAAGGGAGGGGACTTACTTATTGTCGGGTGTATCTACAGATCCCCAAACTGTGGCCCACTTAATCAGAGGAACTTAAGAGCCTTAATAGACAATGCGGCGTTGCTCAACCCTAGCCACCTCCTTATCATGGGGGACTTTAACTATGGCGACATCGACTGGAGAAACGAGTTCACCCCAAATGACTTGAATAACCCTGATACTCTTTTTGTAGAAACTCTGAGAGATAATTTTCTGTTCCAACATGTTAGAGACCCGGCACATCACACAGGGGAGCAAACACCCAAGCCACTTGAACTCATCATAACAGACGAGGAGGGTATGGTGGCCAAACTGGAACGCCTTACCCTAGTTGGCACCAGTCACCATATAGTGTTGTCATTCAGATTTGACTGTTACCTAGTTCAAGATAAGGCCAGGCCAAGGTGCAAATATTACAAGGGAACTTACAACGGGATGAGGGAAGAGATGAGGGGTATCCACTGGCCTGACTCATTAAGGCACAAGAACGCAGACACCACGCTGAATATCATAACTAATAAAGTTTCTTGGGAAACGTTCGTAAATGAGTCATATCCAGCAATACTGAACTCCCATTCCTCTGGGTCGATTCTCTTGTTCTTGTACAACAGTTCTACAACTACAATATCAGGTTGGTGTACCTTCAGTAGTGTTTCAAACTCCTCCCTCTTATCAAGGAACGTGTCAGTACTGTATTAGTGTACATGACATTCAGGCCAGAATTTGTTCTCGGTAACGTCTCTGCTCTTAGTAGTAACTCCGGCCCCTCTCCATTCTCAGAAGCTGCAGGTTTTACTAAATACCCTATATTTTGCAGGGTGTGGTTAGAAATGTCATTGCTTACACAGCGCTCGCCTCCTCCTGTCTGGTAGGCGGAGCTGGTGCCTCCTTCCGAGTGGGGGGTAGAGTGGGTGGAGGGTGCGCTGCTGCCCCCTGGCTCTGTGTCGGCACACTTACTTCCGGTCCCCTTCCCCTGGATATAACCCATGTACACCCATCCCCGTTCCTTCTCAACTCCTCCCTCCTCTGCTTCAAGTCCTGTAGGAGATTCTTGTGCTGTTCTATCTGCAATACCATGCGATCTGGGCAAATGAATACATTTTGAAACGTATCGCTCTTTGCTAAGTTTTTTGCATGTCAGATAACCTCCCATTTCTCCTCCTCACTCACTAGTGTGATCTGGAAGGGCGAGGCTTCTTCCCCTGCTTTTGTCCCAGCCTCCTCACATCCTGAGGGGGGGTTGGCATAATCAGAGCCGCTGTACAAATATTCATAAACTGCATCTTATCGTGTGTTTGCCTAGTCTCCGCTTCATCCGCCTGGCTCTCAGGGACTCCTTAGACCATTACGTTGTTCCTGTGCTGGAGACGGGAGTGTGAGCTGTTTTAAGACCAGACTTGACAAGCACTGGGGTAGGTTCAGATACTCTCAGGAGCCAGTGCATGCCCAGTACTTACCAACAGTGTGTAACAGAGACGCGACCGATCACCCAAGTGACTAACGAGCCAATCAGTGATGAAAAAAAAATAAAAAATCCAGTTAAAGTGACCGATCGCCCAAGCGGCTAACGAGGGGGGTGTCATATCTCCATAACAGGTCATTTCCCCTGGAAATTAAGGTCATATTTGAACCAAATACACCAGAAAGCATGTTTTTGTGTAAAAATCGAAGGGTTAGTAAAACAATTTTTTACCAAGTACTGGAATTATAAAATATGATATCCTTATGAAAAGGACAACTTGGATCCTGCACTCCTTTTACTGAACCTTTGACACTGTACACAAGGAGGCAAGACAGATGGCACCCATTTACAACTGAGGAAGCTGTGAGTTTCTTAGGAACACATCAGTGACTCATAGGACTAGGAATGGGCCTTGTGTGCACTCAGCCACTGTGCCAGTCTTTTAATTAGGCAATGGGTCTAAAAATGTAGTTGCCCTGAGCTACCTAGTCTGATGTTGACACAATATTGATACAGTACAGTACTGAATTTGCATTTTATGTACACACAGTGGTGGTGTTTTCATTGTTGTAGGTGTAAGCAATTTTAGGATATTGCAATTCAATGTCCAATTGAAAGAAAAAGTCACTGTAATTTGACACAAATGAAATACTGTACTGTACTGTACTTTAATTCAGTTTTACTTCCAAATGCCCCTGCAGACGAACTAAATTTGCTGTGCCGTTACATCAATACCTGTATATCTATGATAACACTTCATTATATATACCGATATTATAATTAAATGAAATGGTTTTTCTTAATATTGGTAATGTAAATGTTAGTTGTGCATGCAAATAAATTATTACCTCACAATTAATTTACTGTATTATGATTTTTGTGGGGTACCGGGTATTTGTGATGAATTAAAACTATAAAGTCTTAGGTCTACCACTGATACATATACAGGTATGATTTTTGTCCACAGGCTTCACCCTAACTACTTGTACCAACACTCTTACATGCCCACTACTGCTGGTCTCCTGCAAATGGGGCCCTCACCACTCAACCACAATGCTGCTGCACTTGCAGCTGCAAGCCAGGCAGCATATATTGACTACTCTTCGACTGCAGGAGCAGTTGCCTACCCTGGCTATCAGTCAGCTGCTGCAACCAACATGGAACCATACGCAGCAGCTGTGTCTGCAGGTACGTCAGCAGATGGTCCAGGTAACTTTTTCAATAGGTATCATGTTGTGTCGTGTGTTTTTGGAGAATAACCATCATTAATTTTAAAAGGTTTAAAAGACTGCATATAGCACAATACGTTTTATAACACATTTTTATGTGTCTCAGCTCTATGAATACCAGTCCTGATTAATTGTTTGACTGACTCACTGAAAGGAATTTTTTACTAATTTTACCAGTTTTTGGTTATTTGTTTATGTACTGATCCTCAATATTAGAAAAACAATTATTTGCTCATGTGAAAACACTTCAATCAATAAATCAGAGTACCAGCCTCATATCTGAGGGTTGGCGACCACAGTCCCTCACCCTAAATGTTCTCGGGCTGTTTTTACCAATCCTCTAAGGTTTTTTTTTATCTCTGGGGACCCAGTTTTTAATTTCATTCATCCATCCCAGTCTCTGCCTTCCCCTGGCTCTCCTACCCTCAACTTTACCCATTAATATTTCTGTTATTATCCCTTCATCCCTAATTATATGACTAAAGTACAGTACACTGTATCTCATTGTTTTTTCTCTACATTTCAAGTTCAGTACTGTATTTATCTTGACTATTTATGAAGATGTAAATATGTCAGTGAATGGATGGAGGTATTTTGACTGGTGGATTTATTTTAGAAGCTGTGGCATGATTTCCAGTAGTACGTGCAAATGTATCTTCAGTATGCAGAGAAGATTGTTATTGTTTTGCAAAATAGTCTTGAGAATCCACTTTTACCTAAATGTACAGTACAGCATCTCAAAAAAGTATCTGTCCCAGGGGCAGATCCAGGGGGTCCTGGGGGTCTGGACCCCCCCCTTTTCTTCAGAAAATTCCAATACTTTTTCTTTAATGCAGAATTGTACTCAGGCATTATTGTATAGTAAAATATAATTACTATTGACCTCAGAATATCTCCTAATATCAAGTGCACTTGGCCTCAAAATGCCCATGATATTGATCAGATTTAAAAAAAATACGTATATATATTCCAGGGGGCTTACGGCGCCACCCCTCCCCCAACCCTCTATTGGGATGGATTTGCTGTGCTTGTGATGTTCCCCCCCACCCACAACTTCTTGGACACCCCCACCCCTTTGATATTCCTGGGTCCGCCCCTGTGTCCCTGTACTGTGTGAAACATTGAGAGGATGATAGTTATTGGGACATGCATTTACTTTGGTATACAGTAAACCCTTGCTATTCGCGATGGTTAGGTTCCAATGAATGGTGCGAATTGGCAAAACCGCAAATAGCAACGTATACAATACTACCTTAATGCAGTACTGTTTACCTATACTTTGTATGAGAAACTTAAGTCACCAATGCTACTTACCTTCGTATGTGGAAGTTTGGAGATTGATGAAGTGTACTGTACAGTAGGGGCGGACCCAGAACGTTTTTACTGGGGTGGCCAGGTTAGACCCAGTGATTTTATTGGGGCGGCAAACTGGGGTGGTGAAAAATAACTGCATCAAATCTACAGAAAATTACTTCATGTTGTTACCCCTATCTGTGTATGGCCTCAGGGGAATATCCCTCACACACTTAAGGTAGCTTAAGACACACACCTCTGCTGCTGTTACTCTTCTGTAACAAACTAATTTTATGTAACTGCGCCTCTATAAACATTACAATTAGAAGGATATTTGCTTTAAATGCATATTTTATAGATAACAATTCACAAGAGAAGGTCATGTTCCCAATTTATTTCCAATTTCATACAAAAGAAGAAGAGAAAAAACAAAAAAGGCTGACAGTTTTGCAATAAGGTCAAAATGTGCATAATACAGCATTATACAGGTAACAAACAAAAATAATATGGGGCTCTCAATAAACAAAATGAATATAAACGTAAGTTGTGTCTCTGTAGAATCCCCACTGAGCATAAAAGGCACACGCCTACAGTATCTTTACTGCTCACTTAGCATCTCACTTGTGCTGTTAAATACAGTATATTATAATCTAGATTATAGCAGCTGAATTCTGTGGTTCTTTTGATTTCTGGCAAAGGTATCCACAAATTCAACTACTGTAGATTGAGGGACTTTGCTCATCCAGGCATTTACTCATTGCGCTGCAGGAGAGGCTCGTGAGCTAGCCACCCTCTGCTTACTGAGAATTATTGAAATTACGAATCCTAAGGGTTTACTGTATATGGTATATATAGCTTAACGTAAGTACAGTAAGTCCTTGCTTAACGTCGAGGTTACGTTCCTGAAAACGCATCTTTATACGAAACATCGTTAAGAGAATCAATTTTCCCCATAAAAATAGATAAAATACGGGAGTTACATTCCTGAGCCTCCCTTTGCCCCATAAAATACATCACATAAACAGAAATTCAATGGCATTTTTATAGAAAATAGTATACAGTGATCCCTCGGTTAACGAGTGCCTCGGTTAACTAGATTTCGGTTAACGATTTACCATCCATAAGATTCTTAACTTCAGTTAATGAGCAATCCCTCGATTAAATAGTTTTTAACAAGCGACCCTCCACATGTTTTTGCTTGCATTTGGCAGTCCACCAGCTGTAGTATTGGTCCGCCAATACAGTAATCGGTTCTAGGGCTTAAATTCCTTACTATTTAGTAAATATCAAGAAGTTTATACTATTCAATAATTTTAAAAGTTTAACATTAAATTTTTTAGTCATTTTAACAATTATTGAACATAATTGAAGTACTACAGGAAACTAGTTTTATGCACGCCAAACAGCCTGTCAACACACCAAACAGGCGTCAGTCTCTGTGTCTTTTCAGTGGAGGTAACATCTTGCTTGAGACTCTCTTCAACTAAATGCTTTTTTTCTGTGTTTCCAAGCAAATTATTGGTCAATTTGAAATTTATTTTACATGTTGACAATATATAATGCAGTGCAGTGTTGATTTAAGAAAATAATCTTGAATTACACCAAGAGAACTAAAATTTTATGGGTGAAATGGCGCCATAGGGTGACTTCTCTTCCACCCCAATGCCTTCTCTTCTCCCTTCTCCTCCACCCCCATTCTAATTCCCATCATCATCATCATCATCATCATCCAGGAGCCTTCTACATACACACCTCGAAGTAAGTGTACTTTACTACCTTTTTGTTGATTTTAGGCAATTTTCGGTGAGCTGGAACCAATTACCCAAAAACCCATTGAAACAATGGTTTCGATTAATGAGTTTTCGGTTAACGAGCAACCTTCTGGAACGAATTGTGCTCGTTAACAGTATATAAAACTAAATCATTTTGTATTGCACTCACTGATGGGTGGAGGTGGTGGAGTGAGTGTGTGGTGGGTAGTGGGGCGGAGGAGGAGGGTTGTGAGTCACTGAGACTCGCCGGGTGCCTCCTCCTCCCACTCTGACTGGCGTTCCTACTCCATTTTTGTAACAAGGCTAATGGTCTTATGTTGCTTCTTCACAACACTAGCATCAGTAGCACTTGATGGGCACTTGGAAGCCATTTTGAATGGTTAGAGTACAGTATTTATAGCAAAAACACTTAAGCACACACAAATGATGTGGAAGCCTAACAGTGACTGGCTTGGCGTCACTTGGGGACGCTGTGACGTTCCGCTAGTTAGAGGTACTGTAGCATGCCGAGAGAGGGTGATGCTCCATAAAAAGTTGTCCATGATGACGCAAAAACGACATTATATTGAGTCATCAGGACTTTAAACGAATTTTGGGTATCTAAAGATTTGCGAACTAGTACCAAAACAACGTTAAGCGGGCCGACTTACTGCAATGCAATGTGTATTTGTTTCAGCTTAATTAATATGATGTTCAGTTATTAAATGTAGGAGGATCAGTATGCCACAGAGCCACGCATACCAACCCTCCCTTGACATCACGAGTTATATGTAGCATTTAAGAAGTCATCATGGCAATTACTCTTTTTGAGCTATTGTACCTGTGATTGGCAGTCACAACTTTTTCTAGCCCTGTTTATCCCCTGCATCCCTTATCAGCTTACTGGATGGATCACTTCTCATGTTTTCACTGTCCGCAAATACTGGGCATGTACAGTACAGTACAGACTTCTTGAATGTATCTGATGATGCATTAATGCTAATTTAGCCAAGACTTATAGTGTTATCACTTGGTGCTGCCTCAATACTTACTGGCAGATTCCTCCAGGAATTCATTTATCTTATTCCAAAGAAGGTACTTTTAACAGTTCTCTGTACTGGTATTTTTTTTACCTTGAGAACTGAGACCTCCAGTTAATGCTGGATATGCATGTCTTGAACAGTACAGTAGAGCTCTAATACCATAACCTTGGAGAGCTCTACTGCCATACCTTGCAGACCTTTACTGCTATGTCTTGTAGTTATAATGCCATATCTTATTGAGCCCTGATGCCATATTTTGTAAAGTTCTGATACTAGATCTTATGGAACCTTATTGTTATATCTTACAGAGCTCTATAATGTCATGTCTTGTACGGTTCTGATTTCTTGCCTTGTCATGTAAAACTGTTGCTATATCTCAGAGTTGCTCCTTAAAAAACTTTGTTATTAAACTGTTATCTTAAATTTGAATGCATTTTATCAGTACAGTATTGCATATTCCTCACCCTGTATCATTCCCAAGGTTAGTGATCAGCATCTTGACTCTGTCTCTGTCACATTCCTCCACTCAGCCTTATGTTTTTCATGTTCTCTTGCTTAGAGTAGTACAGTACTGTATTGCTGTTATTAATCCTCAAGATGTTGGGAACTGGAAGAGAATATTAAGTTTGCTTTCTGTCTGTCCTTAATTTTCTGTGACAGCTTAATACGCAGAAATCACTGGAGACATTATCTTTTAAATTGGAACAAGAACTCATCCATAATCATCTATTGTGGACAGTTCCATACACAGTATCAAGTACTGTTTGATGATTGTATTTTAGTCACTACAAAATATGACATTCTTCCTATGACACCTTCTTTAACATGGCAAGGTTGAAGAGGTGTTTCTGTTGTGTGTGCCAAGGTGGCCATTCACCTGTGCTGGAGTAATTTTGCTCCCCTGAGGAAAGAACTGTATCAGTCTTTTTATATGATGGGGTTTTGTAACCCCCCAGAATTTTTTTGAAAAAAATTAATATCATGGTCATTTTGAGGCTATGTGCACATGATATTAGAAGATATTCTGAGGTCAATAATAATTACTTTTTACTATAAAAAACGCCTGAGTACAATACTGCATTATAGAAAAGTATTGGAATTTTCTGATGAAAAGGTGGAGTCTGGACAACCCCCCCCCCCCCCCTTGGATCTGCCCCTATCTAGTGTTGGGCCATTTGACCATTAACTACTGGCACAATCTCATTCTTGTCACACTTGCATCTTAAAATAAGCCTCTTGTGACTTTCTTTGACACTTGTTATGCTCAAATTCAGAACCTTGAGCTTGTGGTTGGAACTGGGGTTTCAGAATGGACAAGTACCTGGTACAAATATTCAGTTATGCATGTGAATAACACCTGTAACTTATACTGCACTCACTTAAACTTGTCAGTGGTAACTAGTAATTTTACTCAACTATACATGTCTGTGGCACTCAATACTTTTTCTTTTAAGTTTTTCAGTGGTGCCTGGTTCTTTCGTTCATTTAAACTTGTCAGTGTCATTTGATATTTTTACTTACGAAAACTAGTCACTATTACTTAGTGAAATGTGATAATCACCCTCAGGGCCTCCAGTCATTCTTGAGAAATACTTCTTGATCACTACCAACCAGGCCCGGATTATCCATTAGGCACAGATATTGGGGGCCTACGAAAAATAAAACGAGAACTTTTCTTCCCCTTTTTCTACAGGTTATTATTAAATTGATACTGAGGTACTTTTTTTTCCATTTATTTATTACTTAATCCTATTAGTATCTATTTATGTTACTTGATTATTTTCTATACTATTCTATTTAGGCATATTCTGGCCATAGATGAAAGCAAAATAGTACCCTGTAGAAGAAAGTTGTTTCAAAGAGTACACAAAATTTTTATTTTTTTTCAGTTGTTCTAATACATACTTTTGTTTCTGAAATATCCTATACAAGTTACAACGTAATCATTAGGAAATGTTTAGAACATACTCAATATGCCAAAGCAACTGCTTCGGAAAATTGACAGATTTTAAGTTAAGATATTTATTAGATCAAAATTTTACGGCTTTTTTGCAGTGCAAATTGTTTTATTATGTCATTAGTGTCTATCTTTCGAAGCAGTTCATTTTCAATTTAAATTAGTGAATATGCTGTCAAATGGGGCCCCATATCTTGGAGGTGCCTGAGGCCTACGAAAGTCTTAACCCGACACTGCTACCAACTGCCTTCTGATATGTAGTGTTTTGAAAGCTCTGAGCGTAAACCATGGAAGGAAATATTTCTGTTTGGTTTATTTGTGTACTGGACCTACATTCTTTCTTCAGAACAAGATAAAGCTGTGTCCAATCTTTCCTGCCACCTTTATGAAACTAAATTAGGGTATTTTTATTTTCACAGATTTTTTTTTAGTTTAGATTAAATTAGATTTGGGGATAATAAATCATACCTTACTATGAAATATTTCTTGAGCTCAGATTTGGGTTTCATATATTGTACAGTACTGTACATCCCGCTTTACTTTCAAATGTAATTCCACACCAAATTTCAGAATAGTTAGAGAATGTTTAAACCTTGATTTTTTGCTTTTAAACCTTAATTATCAGTTATGCTGTGTGTACTTACGCTCATGATAAGGTATGACATGCAGAACTAGACTTAAATCAATGAAAAATGAAACCTTGTCCTGGGTGTCACATTGTAGGATTCATAATGTCAAGCATCGGAAGGAATTACTGCAGTATTACCCTGAATTATACAGGGTATTGTTTATCCTAACCCTTGTACAGAAAATGACTGCACCACGGTTTATCAAAAGTTACAAAACATGAACAGTTTTCAGCCTTCATATTGTGAGAAAATATCAACTGATATTTAATATTCTTTATTTGATATTAACACTCTTGGGTTTAAGGAGGTGCTCTCCGGCGACACGCTCGGGGTCTGGCCGGTTACTTACCCTACCGCACTTGACTGCACCGCACGAGAGATAATTGTACGTAATGAGTCATAGCAAGTTTGCTATTTGAGATAAAAAGGTAGGGTTTGTTGCATTAGCATTGTAATTAAATTGTCTATAAACAGTTTTATATGAGTTAATCATTATAAAATATTATTTCTATACGTAAGCGCGAGTAGAACAAAAAAAAATTTTTACGCTTAATGAAAATGTTCATACTTTTTATACCTTCGCTATTTCATGTGATTGCAATATGAACTTTATTCCATTATAAAGCACACATTTTTAGCAAAATGTTTTTACAAGAAGAAAAATTTTGAAAAATTAATATTTCGCTAGGTAATGTTGGTGTCATTTGTGCAATCTGATGAGCACACTCAGACCAAGTACAGATTTTTTTTTCCTTCCAAGCACAAAATATAATTTTACATATACCGGTAGTCATAGCAAGCTTACTATTGGAGATAAAAAGGTCAGGTTTATTGCATTACAATTGTAAATACAGTACTGTACATTATCTACAAATAGTTTTATATCAGTAATCACAATAAATTGATTAAATCTATCTGTTAGTGTGGGTATAACACAAATTGTAGTGCATGGCTGCCACTCAAGCTCCCAAATGCAAATTTTTCTCCCTCAAAGTTTTTATATTTTTACATAAAACATAATGTGTTTATAAATGCTTATTAATTTGGAAATTCGTATAAAATAATCAATGTAAATTATTGGTTAAATGTAATTCATAAAAATATAACTTAAATTTTTTTATGAAAATAAATGAATTTCTGTACTTACATGTTGTTCGATGTTGGAGCACTTTGTGATGTTCCTCCCCCTCTCCCTTCCTCCTCCATGCCCCACAATGCCATACTTAACCTGAACAAAGCGACCAAATATAGCTTTAGTGGGAGTACGAGTAGTACGCATTTGAGGGAGATGAGCGATCACGAGGTAAGCCACTCTGCGATGGCTGAGATACCACACGTGCAACACTTTTTTGTTTTTTCTTTTAGCCACAACCACATGTCGGGCAGTTCCTTTCGCTCATAAAACTGCTTGTTGAAGGGCCAGACAAACTGTCACTTGCACCAGAAGGGCCAGGGACACTGGCAGAGGCCTCAGGAGGCACCACATGGTGCAATCTCCTTGTACTTTTTAAGTTTTCCCACCCATCCACCTTCACCAGCAACACACGGCATGGGTCAAAACTATCACAGCACTGTTATAAATAAATGAAATCACTGTAATGAACGAGAAATCAGCATAAGCCATGAGAAAATGGTGGAAAATGTAGGTCAAGGTTACGTTCTGTGCTGTTGAACCACAAAGGGTGACTGGTGTGGTCACTCACGTAACCTTGGAGGCAGTCTACATAGGTGCCAGATCACACCGACATTGCCAAATGTGTGTCTTGCGTATCTAGTGTTCATACGCAAACTTAAAATTATTTTATTGTAATTTTTGAGTTCATATGCAAATTTCCATATGAAAACCCCAAGAGTATTAGTACCTGTATAACCAGGTAGGGTTGATGAGGCCTTTCTCCACTATGGTTTGCACCGAGTTAGCCATTAACCCCCTCGTTGCTGTAAGTGAAGCTAATACCTCTGACTTTGAGGTTGCCATCACATTAATTGTGGAAAATAATATAAAAATTTTGTCTTTTTCATTGTGGAATGTTTTCCTATGATGTAAAGGAGCTTGCCTAATGCTTACATGTTTATCACTACAGTACTTATTGCTGAATTGTATATATTTCTCTTACAGCTTCAGCCATGAGCCAGTACACAGCTGGCATACCTGCTTACTCATGGGCACTACCACCAGGTACTGCTGCAGCAGCTGCAGGAACCATTCCTCTCCCACCATACCAGACTGCTCAGCCTCAACTGCAGGAGGCTCGAATGCAGTAAAGCCTTTGTTAGACTCCAAGATGAGAAGTATTCAGGGATGCATCAGTGCTGGCACCGCCCAGTACAGCCCTCCATGGGTGCTGCACCAACCTCCACTGCCTCACCACCCACCTGCATCCTAGAGTCATTTCATCCTGGAGTTAAATCTACAATCTGTGTTCTGTTGGGCTGGAGCTCTTTCCATAGGAGACTTCCACCCTACTGGAACCTTCACCAGGCAGTTAGGCTCCACCCAGGCCACTGCCCCCCCTGGTTGTGAACTCTTGATGAGCCTCTCACGCCCACAGCAGTCATGCACCGGCCAGCCAGGGTGGGTGTGGGCGTGGACTTGAGCTACACATGCGATGCTCATGATGCTCATAATTCTGTAACTTGGTGTTCATGACTTATCTTGGGATCATTGTCATGATCTCACCGCTAAACATAATATTCAAATGAAAACATTTATATGAACAGTGTTGTATACAAGATACAGTACTGTAGTTGAAAGTGAAGTTCATTTAGTTTCTTGAGATATAATAAAGTTACAGTGCTTTGAATCTTTGAAAGAAATTATGATACAATTTTTTTTACACTCTTTTACTTGTGTTTTTGTTACTAGAGAGAAAATGAAAGAAGTCCTATAAAGTGTAACTTAAGAGACCAACTACTCTGTGATGATTTGCCCAAGGCTGTCATAACCCAGTTCTCATCCATGGTAATACATACTGTATATACTGAGGGTTTCTCCTAGCAGGTCTCAAGTTGCATTCATTTAAGATGGCCAGTGTTCGAAAATACCACAATCAGGGTTGCTGTCTTTTTATTTTTCCAAGCAGACAAATTTACTCTAAGCTTATGATTTTGGGGTAGGTTTGGTAAAGTTCAGAAAGGCGTGGTTGGTTCACATCAACCTGAAAAATAAAAAGATATTGCTGTCCTGTATGTGGTAATTTTATAACTGACCATATTGCAATCCTCTTCACTTCTTCAGCTGTAGACTAATGGAAAGATGAAAAGATGCTATTGTTTCTTAAGCTGTCCCTCAGTAACATATTATTGATATTACAAAGTCTATAATGTATTGTGGTCTTGTTTTGTAAGATTCGATTCCATATCTGACATACAGTTTTTCTCTTAAAGCTAGTGATAGAATGTTTATAAAGATATTTTCATCGTTATATCATTTTATGTTAAGAATAATGATATTTTGTTAATACTAGTTATTGATAATTTCTTTTATGTAGCAAAACTCGTACTCTTGCTATGATGCCATAGTTAATCATAGGAGTATATTATTAAGAATTTTTGACATGGCTGTTTGAAGTATGGAGAATGCCAAGTAGGGTATACTGTATATCTTGTCAGATGATATAATGAAGTGTAGAGTGGCTAAGTTATATACTTTTCAAGCTGAGTGGGTTATTTTTCAAGTTATTTGAAATAGCATTTAAAGTTTATAGCATGTGTATAAAAGTGAAAAGTATACACGCTGATGATTTAAAGGAAGTTAAAGAGTGGTAATTTCCTGTTCTGATAAAACTTTGATCAGCACAAATGCTCCCTGCACCCTTACTGGGGAGGACTCCCACAATCCCTGCCTTCTAGTATTCCTTTCTAGCCTCCTACTTTAAAACTAAACAAGAAGGCTGTGTAAGTGTACCATTTATGGCAAGTATTTCCATATTTCAATCAGCCTGTCAAAGTATTTAAGATATTAGATGAGCCAGTTAGGATGTTGGTATATAGGTAATAATTTTAATAGTATATTATTGTACACTGAAAAGAAGTTCTTCACTGTACGTATTTTAGCCGGCTTCGTCACTTTCATCAGGATTAAGTATATAAAATATATACCTGGATGTTTTCTCAACATTTCACTTTAAATTGAGATGCATAGAAGACATATCAAGCTTTCCCAAACAGGGATATAACATTCTGCAACATCTAGTCAGAATCTCTGCACTAATATCATGTTTGTGCCATATACTGCTCATTTCATCTGACCTAAGAAAGCAAAATGGCCATTGTTAAAAAGATACCTTGGACAGGACAGTCAAAACATTAATTTTTAAGATGTGAGCCAACTTAGCCTTCCTAAAACTACCCTAGGATATATAGATGAGGTTGAATAAGTCATTTACTTGAATATAATGAATGACTCAGTCTGTGGTACTCTTTTGGCACTGTCTTGCCATAAGAAGTTAAACAGTGGACAATTACCTTCCATGAAAAGTAGACTGCATGGGTCAAGCATGTTTAAATTGAACTTTTGACTCAATCTTGTTCATCATGAGATAGTGTTTACACGAGCACATCTTGTCATTCTTTAATTACTTGACGTCTCTTGAACCTATACATACTGTATATATTTTTATTAACCTTGCAGTGTTTAATTCCGTGTACCATGTCAGATATCAGTATTAAGCAACACAGTATTTTGCAGAGGCAAAAAAAAAACTGAATTTCCCTCACATTTTGCGAAAGAAAATTCACATTGTGTGAAACAAATATAAAATTACTTAATTGTTTGTGATTGTCTCAGTATTGCATTGTGAATTTTGCTATTAATTTTTATTCCTTAATCTTAAATTATGGGGGATGAAGGGAACATGAGTATGAAGTTCATTTCCATTACCCTATTAACTTTCGAGAAACTAAATGGATTAGAAATTTAGTTGTTTTGCAGCTTCATATCAAGAAAACCTAGGCTGAGTTAAAGAATTAGTAGTTTCCAGCTTTCTTTACAGAAGGTATGGCCCTTGTTGAACTTCGAAATTGTGACAGGCATAGCCCAGTCTAAATAATTTTCACGTTCCAAATGTTTTTACCCCTTGTGATAAAATTAGACAAAAAACAGGCATTGGTTCCTGAACTCATTTATGGGGCAACAGATTTCCACAAACAATATGTAAACGGTGTCTGATTTTTTAATTACAGTATATGCTCTTTATATCAAGAGGTGAACAAGATTGTTAGTGTAAAGTTTAACCATGTGGAAATTTGTGAAATATTTAGCATATTGTATTTATTATTTTTTTAACAGTAAAATTTAACATTGGCAAAGTGTTTCAAATGTTTTGAAAGGTCAGCATACTGTCAACAATGTAAAGATAGCAGCAACATTTACATTCAGGTTGTTGTTACCAGGAAAGAGTATGGGAGCATTTAACTAGGGAGCCAAAATTCCCACATAATACTCTGTTTGGTTATAAAACTGGAAGGACATTATATTTAGCTGAGGTACTGCTGTTAAATATTCAATCATTGTAAAACTTGTTAAATAGAAATTACAGAAGCAATATGGTTCATGTTTAAAAAAATACCTGTACCATAAACGGCCAGTAAACTTTATTTTTAGAAAACATGAATAAGCCAAACCTGTCTTAAACTAATTACCCAGTATCATTTGGTGAAGTTTATGTTGTTGTCTATCACATAAATAAATGCTTTAAATGTCCTTTTCATGGTACGTTTCCAACATTGTCTGACTTGCACAAGACAATCATGATAACAGTAGATACTAACAAACCAGCAGGATGTTGGTGATTTATGGCTGCCTTATGGTTCATCTAGTCAGAAAAATATATATATCTAATGCACAGTCCAGGTTGCCTTATAAGTGCCTTTATAGAGACTTGTCAATGTACACTCCAAAGTCAGTAAATTATAATGAGATAATTTTCTTATTGTAACAGGGCTCACTCATTTTCCTGGGTTACCACTGGCACCTAATTAATTGTAAGTATTGTACAGTTTGGCAGATTTTTGGCCATTAGTCACCACCTGGGTACTAACGAGTCTTCTTATTGAGTAAAGTGAATATTTGCTAAATAAAATTTAGTTTTGACATTACAGATTCACATGATTCTAAAATCTGAAAATCTGAGATGATCATTAAAATACTTATGTCTGGCACCTAGAAAATGTTTTCAAAATTGAGCCTTGTATCTCTTTGATGTTATATTGCATGATAACTGAGGAGTGGCATGTTTCGACAGTCTCCTGTCCAGTAAAGCTGTGAGATTTCAGTTGTAAGTATGCAGGTGAAATTATGTTTAATTATAATGGAAGCAAGCTGAACTGTCCATATAACAGATAGCAATGAAAAATATCATAGATTAAGAAACTGTTGGCATTCTACGCAATATTGATACCAAATGTTGAAGAAATGTATTTGATAATAAAGTACTGCATAATGTACTTAGGTGTAAATCTTTATGGAAGCTCAACTGTACTTTTTTGTTTCAGTATTGGAAACATTGTTTTTTTTACAAAAATATACGTATTCATAGGGGTAATGATAATGTGGAGTAAGTATCACATGTATGAGGGCTTACATGAGTCTTTATTCAAATTTTATCTACATGATCAAGTCACCAGCAAATGAGTACAAAAAAGTTTTAGTAAATAGGCCATCACAGATGTTTGAAAGGTTAACATTGATTACAGAAAGTAATATGTGTCCTGATGTATGAAAAGGGCCACAAACAACTTAATTAAGACCCTGAGTAAGTAAACAAAAAAGTTGTTTACTATGCTATGGTTGTAGAAAGGAGCAGTATTTTTCATTGGAGTTTGTTTCACATTTGTACAGAGTATCCTCCAGTAGTTGAAGTACTATGCTCCTAACTCAACATATTTACATTTGTGACCAATTTCTTAGATCAGGTCACATGCTGTATATCTTTTAATACATGTTTTATAAATGGAGCTGGAAATTTTAAAGAGGTTGTATGCTATAATTAGTCTTTGAGTTTTTCTTGATACTGTACTGATTGGAAAAGTGCCTGCCACCACACATATATATTCAGGTTACAGTCGAGGTGTGCTAGACCAGATTTCTTTTTTAATCAGAATATGTTAGGTTTGAAGGCCACTATAGAACCCTTAAACCTCTTGCTGAAATAAAATTTACATTTAAAAGGTCACCCTCCATTTCATTAGTTATTCTCTGGTTCTTTAGAAAAATTACTTCAGCTAAATATATTCTTTCATTTGAATAGTTGTACAGTAGTTACTGTAAACATTGTGTGTCGGAAAGTATCAGAAAAAAATATCTCGATGCTTTAAAAGTATCCTTATTTCCATAAGGATTTAGTGCTTCAATATTGTCTTTCAGACCCAACCTGTTCTGAATCTTGAAAATTACTTCCCTTAAGTGATACTTTGGTCTTTTCAATTCTTATGCAAATATGTAATATGAAGTTGTGAAATTTTTTATATTTGGCACAAATAAGAAGTTTCATATAGACGGAGCAAACATGGGACACTCATGGTTCAAATGTTAAGAAAAACTTGAGTGGGTCAATTGGTCATGGCTGCTGACAGCTCGAGAAAAGGGATTTTTCATCTCTCATTACTGTCTATTGTTTTACAGTACTTCACTGCACTGCTCAGTGATCTGTTGTGTTCTAAAATTCAAATTTTAGACTCCATTACCTGTTTTCTATCCTCAACCTTCTATCCCTCATGCTTCCATACTGTATTTGTTTCTTCACATTCAATTCTCATTTTATTAACTGTCTTTCCCTCTGCCGTCTACCTCCTGTTATTCTCACACTTATGCTTCCTTTGATATTTCCAAATAAGTACTGTATACCTTTTTCCTTCCTGCATCATTCCTGCTTCCATATTTGTGATTATATTTTTTGAGATTAACTCATATTTCTCTGACAAGTTCTTCAGAAGTGCAGTAGCTGTTCATGTATGTCATGGCCAAAGGGCATTTCCCAGAAAATGGCAGATCACACCATTTTTATTAGTTTTATTGTACATTTTGAAAGATAGTGCCTTATATTCTTAATGCACACATAGAAGATAAAGATGAAAGGATCAAAATGTTTATTCAGAAATATCAGTACAAGTGTAAACTTATAGAGTAAACATTGCCCCAATATTTTTTTACCTTTAAAGGTGTGGTGATAGTCAGCAATTGAAGATATAGGCCAAAAAGTAACTTGAAATGCAGAGCCAAGTATTCTGTGTAATATTTAGTGCCTTTTGAAAATGAATTCTAATACTTCAAAAATATTTCCATTTGTCATATATGAAACTTGAGATTAAATGCAGTCTTCATATCAATGTGTCATGGTGTCTCTTATTGTACAGAAATTGTGACATATATTTTTAATGTCACATTTTGCAGTTAGGAGACATGTATTATAATGTTCAGGTAAGAAAGGAGCAGTCACTATAGCTCATTAATTTACTAGGCATTAAGTTACAAACGTAGAGTATATAAAATAATTATGTATTTATTGTTACTATTTGCTGTTATTGACTGTGGGATGATCTCTACTTGTGCAAAATTGCATCACACACTTTTGATTCCTATTTGTTTTTTTTTTGTTTTTTCAAAGATATGTATCAGTGTGGGATTCATTCTTTAAATGGAAATATAGTCAAATTTGTTGATACTGTACTTCCAATATTTGATTGAAGTTTTTTGTCTTCAGTATTTTATAGCCTTATATTTCCTGTCATTGATATCTTTAGGAATACACAAGATCATCTCACAATATGAATCATCCACCAATTTTAGGGTTTCGCTAAATTATCAATTTCATACTGTATGTCCTATTTTATAATGGTTCTGAACTTCCCTAATATTGATGGATCATTGCATCATCCATGTAAATATCTACAGGGGTTAACCTACATAACAAACAGTAATTAAAGTGTATTAGGTGATGGTCTTGATTCAACTGGAAGTCTGTGCTGTGGTGAATTGGTATTGTCCTTGTAAATCTAGGGCCGGATTCTCTAAGGTTCATACATTGTATCTTCCCTATAAATAGGGATGTAAGAATGCACCTAAATGGCTGACTTACAGTAAGCCCAAAAATAGCATCCAAAACAGCATTAAAATTACACAGGCTCAATTTTATGAAGATACATTTACTTAACACCAGTTCCAGGACAAAATTTGAATATTTTACAGAATCTTTGTGGATCCGGACCCTCTAAGCTGTTTGATGTAACAGTGATCCCTGAACCATAAATGCTGTATGTAACAGGCTTCGCAAATAGCTGCCCGTGGTAGCAATTATAAACATCTATAATATTATCGTTAAGGATGGTCTTACATCCTTTTAAGTCAGTGATACCAGACAGCCAAATTTGCTTAACCTGTGACTGTTGGTAGAGTAAAAGCTACCCTTATGGGTTAAAGGTTGTTTGGGGAGTGGGAATGAAGAAACAAAGTTGTTTTATAATGGTTATGTACCGTATGACTAATTAACAAAGTGATCAGTTGATCAGGACGTTTATAAATCATTTACATATCTGTAATTCATAAAAAAAAATTATTTTGCTAATGATAAAATTGTTGAAATGTTTTATGCAGGTTTTTGCACATGAAATTCATACTTGGGCTCATGCCTCTTGCATCATCAAAAAAGGCATCACCGGGAAAGGAACCTAATTTTCTGTCTGGGCACTCAGAGTCAAGTTCAAAAGTATCTTGTGCAAAACCCAAGTTCCTTTAATCCTTGATGCATTGCTATAGGTTAGAGTTGAGTCAAAATTCTAGTCCAAGCCTTTATTTGTATGTTCCGATACATGGTACTGTACATGTATGTACAGGTACAATCATTGTGTAACAGTAACAAATAATGTAAAAAGTATTAAACTGATTAAGTTTAAATATTTACTACTATAAAAAAATTACCAATCTATGAAATAGTTCAAAAGTTCCAGCGAGACCATGGAACATGCTGCACTGTTATTTTCTCTGAGTTAGATGCTCAACCAATGAAAGTGGCACACATTAATTGCTGCTTGGCCAATCAGTGCATACCTCTGCCAGTTTTGAACTTTTTCCTTGAACATATGTACTCCACTGTGGTACTAGCTCTCTCTAATTTTTTTATTCATAATGTCTGGAAAAAAGAACTGCAAGTAATATTGCTGGTAATGTGGCCCAGCAGTTACAGAAAAATATCAGCATTGATGTAAAAATACAGGGTCATAGAATGTGTGGAGGCGGGTGAGTGTTGGTCATAGGTTGGATTTGGCTATGTCAACCATTAGAACCATTCTCAAGATACAGTATTGGCTTCAGTCCACTCCACACCCCTGTCAACAGCCTGGCTCATCCTTCTGTCAGTAGCTCCTCCCATCTTATTACCCACTGCTGCCTTGTAGGAGGAGTAGAATTGTGTTATGTGAGATGGCAGATAATAGTCAATCTTGCCCAAGGTCCAGCTGAGTGCACTGGTTAGTATGCAACTTACTATTATTGTCATTTATTAAAAATTAATCTTTTTATTTATCTTATACAGTAATAAATGTACCATTTGTTTATTATCAGTATTTGTGTTATTACTGATACCCAATGAAGCTCTCGTATATTGCTCATAGGTTAGAAATAGCGTTGCCACAAACACGTAGGTGTTGGAAATATATTATGGTGAATTTTATTGAGAAGTTTCATATAATGCTCCATTATATACTGTATAGGTAGTACACAGTATAAGAAATCCAGATTACTGTTTTCTCTAAAAGGTAAACAAAGCAGTTGCAATTTATGTCTGCATTACCTCCCCTCGGTCCTCTGTCAGCACTCTATGAGAAGTCATCCAATCACCATAGGAATTATTTTATATATCTGAAAGCACAGCAGTTCGATTTTTTAAAGTAAATTAGAAATAGGGGAAAATAATAAATCTGGTAATGTGCAGGTCCCAGGTATTTATTTAATTTTTTTTTTAGATTATACTGTACAAGTTACTTTCTATATGACAGTGATACTTTATAAAATCTTTAAGTGCAGCCTTAAAAATCCATCACCTTTTGAGGTGTATTTCAATTGGACTAACCATAAGTCATAAAGTCTATTGTGCTCAACTCAAAGCTTGAGTCTTATTTACAGTCAGCAAAAGATGTACCGACCTCACCCTGGATCCCATGCTCGCAATTTTACCTGGCAATTCTTGGTAAAGGAAGGCTGTATGTAAAGTTGATTGTGATTGGTGGATCTGCTTTTGGCTGTATCACTGTCTGGATAATTATTAAACAACCAAAGGTAACATTTTTATGATAATAAACTACTATTCATTGTTATTTAAGGTCATGAGAAGCTTCCAAATGTTTGTATACCTGTATTTGCTTAAATAATGAAGAAAATTATATTAATGAATTGGCAACTCAACTACAACCACAGCTGCCACAAGATTCTCACATAAAATTTTCTTCATTATTTAAACAAATATACAAACATTTGGAAACTTCTAATGACCTTAAATAACAATGAATAGTTTATTATTATAAGAATGTTACCTTTGGTTGTTTAATAATTATCCAGACAGTGATACAGCCAAAAACAGATCCACCAATCACAATCACCTTTACATACAGCCTTCCTTACCAAGTATTGCCAGGTAAAATTGCGAGCACGAGACCCAGGGTGGGGTCAGTAAATCTTTGGCTGACTGTACAAGTCTAAAGGTAGCATCACATCAGCACCTTAACTGGCTACACTAGCAATTTTTTTTCAAACCAGTAAACAAATCTGGCACTACCATTCTGGCCAGACACTGAAAGCATGATTTTAATTCCAGCATAACACAATTGTAAACATACAAAATGAATTTCAGTGAACCTATCATTGTGGCAACTACAGTTGTAATTTTGGGCTGTATCATGCATAGGAGGAATATAAGTACAGTATACGTATACTAAAAAAATGTAAACATTGCTATCAAATATATTCTGTACTAGTGCACAATGAATATACCTTCAGAGATATGGGGTCTGCACCATCGCCAAGACATAGTGGGGGTGGGAGGCAAGGGGTTATAATGAAAATCAGAAGAGACAAAAAGTGCCTTGACAACTCTGAAAATCTGATAACTCAGGATGGTTGAAAGTCGTATATATTACGAGTTGTCAAGGATTTACTGAATTTTATATATTGTGGTATTACAGGGATTCCCCGATCTATGATCTTCCTATCTATGATATTCCACAATAGTCATCACCTGGTCAAAGCAATTTAGTCACAAAAAACATAGCAAAAATAAATTCACAGTTACCAAAAGAGAGTACAATGTGAACATTATTGATGTCCTCTCACTGTAAAGTAAAAAAACTCATGATAAGTAACAACACCGATACTGACCGATAATAATCGTTGAATTACACGACTGGGGTCATGTGGCATAGGACATAACTTGCTACTGTAGTGCACTGGGTAACCACTTGATGGTACTCATGTTGACAACAAACAAATACTGTATAAATTGTATATACTGTATACTAAAATAACCATACCTTTAATTTAATATATATTAGTACTTGTATAGCTCTTCTTTGAACTCAGGAGCGTAGCCAATTTCGGACAAGTGAAGACATGTCGGAGTCGAGAGAAACCAGGTACAGCTGTACACTAGCTGGAATCTCCCGATCTTTTGCCAGATTTGTTTGTCAGTTTAGGTGCTCGTGTAATGCCACCTTAAGTCTCTGAAAATTGGAGAAGAGTTTGGTTTGAGTACTGTACTGCAACACTGCTTATATCTGACAGCTATGGGCTAAAAAAGAAATAATCAAAAACTTGTGTGGAGCAAGTAGATTGTGGGAGAAATCAGTTCAAGGGATATTGGCAAGACTTAATTAAATTGACTCGTATTCAGTGCTCAGAAAACATTTGAAAAAATTGTCTTTAGGTTGAAGCGTTTATTAAAAGCGATGTTTCGAACTGCACTTGCACATTATTTTTTATTAGAGAAAGCACAATACTGTATTTTTAACATTTCATACAATTACAGTACGTACTTGATAGTTCAGCAAACTTGTGTCATGCATGGAGTATGAAGAACAAGTACCCGAAAACATGATACTTATTGTATTAAATATTTTGCAGTTATGTGCCTAAAAATTTGAAAGACAGCTTTATTCTGACTGTAGAACAGACCTCCTGTTATACAGGTGAATGTCAACAACTATAACAATAAACTTGATTAATTTTATGCAAACAGTTTTTCATTAAATGTAATGATATACTGTACAGTATTTAGAAAGAACTATTTACTGTACTTGATCTGACATCACTTATTTAGAAACAAATGAAAAGATTTGCAATTTTGAATACAAATTCAAATTTAAGCCATTACTAAGACTACAGTATAACACAACACTTGTAACACCAATGAAATGAACACCACATTTGTTTTTTTAGATATGAAAGATTTTAAGGTAGGACTACAAAGTCAACCTTCAAGTCTAAAAGAATTGTTAAAAGCAAGCTTATCCTTAATATGTTCAAGATTTTAAGTTACAAACATTGATCAAGGATTTTTTAGCCTCAATACAATGATTTTGTTGTTTTATTTGAAAATATAATGAGTTTAATTTGGCCATTATTAAAATACACTGCATCTTCATTATATCTTGAGGTAGAACTTTTTTTTTTTATAATTGACTGAAAGTGAGTAAGTCTTGTCATAAATATAGATTTCTCCATTCCCTCACCCTGCCTCTCGTCAGCCATATCCAATTGCTATTATTTATTTTTTAATTTATTATAGGAAATAAACATAGTTATGAGAAGTTTGTGTTTCACTTGATCCTCAAAACCTTATCAAATGTAAAATATTAGGCCACTGTACATTTGCTATGTTGTAGTATGATAGTTTTAGCAAAACTGAAAATAAATAGGTAGTTTCCCAGAGTAATGACCATGTACCAAGTACGCTCAATAGTCCATAAAACATGAAGCTATAGTAACTTATTTCTCGAGTCCCCACTGAGACGTGCATTTTCTCTGGTCCATTTCAGAATCTTTAGTATCCCATGTTTATGTTTGTATATTTAAAATTACGAGTGACTGCGCATGTGTTACTGTAAGATATACTTATAGCTGAAACATTCAAGATCCATTGGGAATGATGTTGAAAGCTGCAACTGTATTTACTATGTGAAATTGTTAAGTAAGTCGAGTGTTAGAATTTGCAATAGTGAGACTCCCTTTTTCCGCCCTGTGAGACGTTACAAGGTTTCTACTCACCGCTGAAGTCGTATTGCTTTGATTCACAATCGTCAGAGAATATGATGACTGTATTAAAATTATTATCAGTTTTGTATTTAAGAAAGTCATTAATCATTTGAGAGAAACCTGTCAACTGCTCACTGCTCTGAAATGTAACGTCGGATATCAATGGGCCTTGTTCGTTTCCGAGCTGAGTTAGCACGAAATGTGATTGCCAGTCTCAGTAGTGATATCAGTTTAATTATTGCATTGCAAATGCAAACACTGTTTAGATTGTAAGTGTTAGCCTTAAGAAATTGATGTATTGATAGAATTCAACTAGCATTACATTGCTCTTGGCCTATTCAAGGCTGGTGGATCACTTTCACAGCTCTACATTCTATGGTTTAATAATATAGAAACTCACACTCTTCTCTTGCTGTGGCTTCATCTATTATGAATTTCTTTGTTTTAGCTTTGAATTGCTTAATACCGTAACTGGTTTTATTGTGGTCTAGCAACATGTTCCAATCTTTTATAGCAGTAAAGATGAAAGCATTTTTTGCTTGAACAGAAACATTAGGTACCATAAAATTATGTTAACTCCCTCTAGTGCCCTACCGATTGATATCCCTATTGTTAGATACTCTGGGAACAGTTTACTGAAAATCATATAAACATGATTCAGCCTCAGCTGCTTCACTCTATCTAGCACACCTAACGTGGTCAGTGATTGAAGAACTTCGTGACCAACGAGATCTCTTACTTTCATGTCAACAATGAACCTTATCGCCATGTTTTGAATAATTTGGAGCATGGATTTTAGCTTGTGTGTAAGGGAGGAGTACCATGGCGAGCAGGAATACTCCAAGTGACATTGTATGAGCGCCAAACAAAGAATCCTACGGGCATCAGCTGAGAAGCATTTATCAAGTGGATAAATTTTATTTTGGCATTACTGTACTTTTTTTTAATTATATTATCTGCGATTAATTCACCGGAGGGGATGAGAGGGGATCATTCCCACATAGTAGAGTAACAATGAATTCATTTGCCTTTTCAGCTTTCTTTTGATCTAAATAATACTGCTTTAGTCTTTCCAAGACTTAGGGATAATTTGCTGTGTACGAGGCACTGTTTGTATGACTCCAGTTCAGATGATAAGTCGTTAGTTATATTATTTGGATCATTACCTGATATTAAAAGAGCAATTTCACTGGCAAAGAAGCCGGTTTCCCAGTGATCAAGAGGAGACGGTAGGTACTTGTTTCCAGATATGTTGCTTGGCGACGTTCGAAGAAAGCATCCTCGAGACCCCTACCATGGTCATTATAATGGGCGGCAGGGCCATATTGACTGTGTAAGAGATGCAGGAAGCTTCCGTGAACTGATGGGCCTTACTGGGCATGCAAAGGCTGAGCTTCTTTGGCGGCTTCCTAGCACTAACAGATCTCCCACGGACACCTGGTTCCGACGGCCTTTTGCGCCCCCATTGCTCCCACTGCTAGGCCGTTGTCCACTGAAGCTCGGTTGTCTGTGAGCTTGATTGTGGGCTTTACAAATCATGTGGTGGCTGAACGAGCATCAGAGTTGGTGACACAGCAAGCATCTCTTGCCCCAGTGCTTCACTAATCTTCTAACTTGAGCCTATTGAGTGCCTATTCTTATTGTATAATGAACAATCACAGTACTGTTGTGAGGGCACGGGTTCCCTCTCTATCTCTACACCACCCTCATCTTACTTACTTCTCTTCGTCTTACTCTTACTCAGTTCCATCACCTATTCTTTTGGTAGCATGGACATTCTTTTGGTAGCCTGGACATTCTTTTGGTAGCATGGTCGAAGGTCTAGGCACATGGGTAGGGTAATTCTGGTATCAAGTCACTTGGATGGAAATAAAGGTAAAATACTGTGGGAGAAAGGAATACACCTAAAGTACTCTAAAAACAAGTTTATTAATATGCAATCAATGGGGAAAGATATAGTATTAATCATATAACTACCAGGCTCAACTCCTGGGCTTAGTGCAAACTCAGTTCCTTCTTCACTTATTTTCTTATTTACTTATTCAACATTAATTACTCAGATCTTACATTCTTACTGCACACAACATTATTGGTGTTACATTACATGGCACTCATTGTAGATTATTTTACTCAACCTACTCGTTAAGAATGACACTAGCATATACAGGGGTCCACTTCCCAACATGGGATAATTATTTCCATCTAATTATCCCTAACATACGTACATGTCACAACCCTCTCTGTGGACATACACTTCCAAGGAGTAACCCAGGGTAGAGCACTGGGGCTCACGACCTTTGTTATTGTGGGATAGCCAGACACATGGCGGGTCTGGGGTCTGGCCCAACGAAGCCGTGGGACACATTAATCAGGCCGCATCGGTGCCATCTTTTCGTATATGATCCCTGCTGGTTATTTACTACATCCGGGGCCGTTGTTGAATGGTTGCAAGAATGACAATGGGATCTGGAGAAACATGGAAGCAGCGTCAGGGAACGCTTTCCTTGGCTCGTCTTAGGGTATATATACCCCTGAGTTGCCAGTGATCGCTACTCACGCAATGACAATAATTACAAACAAACTAACTGTTACTCATTCAAAGATGACCTTCAGTTGACAAAGGTCTGGCGAATTACTTGAGTTGATTTACACAGACTAATTCAAGATTGAGTTTCCCAGGAGAAAGTGGAATAACAACGCATTGACAACTGTCTTCACAAAGGCGGGACTCTGGGAGGGAACACAAGTGTAGCGTGTATGGGGAAAAAACACGTCTTCTCAGGGGTCGCTAACTCACTCATGTTTTGCGGGCGTGGAGTTTAATAAGAATCATTAGTTAAATAGATCAGCAGTCAACGTGACCATGGCACTGTATACACATAAAATTATTTTACGGACTGTTACACAAGTTTTTGTACAAATTTCAATTGGTCTAAGAGTCAGATACATCTGAAGATGTGCTACTCCCACTGCAATCATCATCCCTAGACTCTGTAATAGCCTCATCATAATCATGAACACCTGGATTGAGCACATTCTTATCTGCAGTAGTTTCACTGAGGTTCTTATCTGGTAAAGGATGATGATTCTTTTCAAACAATGTTGTTTCAGAATATGTTAGCTGTCTCTGTGAGTGAGGTGCCTCTGCTCGGTTACTTGGTGGTGTGAATGGAGATCCAGTATGATGAAGCTTGGCTGATGGCAGAGACGACTGACCAGGAAGAACCACGGATGCTGTCTTACTGCGCAGTGTGCTAATTTCATGCCTGAATGAAAATGAGAAAACAGTCATTCCATTGAATGTATGGGCCTTGTTGTGAAAGAGGGAACCATAACAGAGTTCATTGGGTAAGGTTGATAGAAAGAACAATTGACAGTCAATTAGGAAGAACACATTACTCTTTAATCTACATGACAAGAAGGAAAGGCTTGCATGAGAAAACAACAGCAACAACAACATATTGTACTAAAATTTTGGGTTTGGTTCATGGAGGAATATTAAATTTAATTTAAATGTCTGTGAAAACAATTGGATCATTTCAACCACTGCTTGCCAGCCATCCAATTTCCTCCTGTCCACGAATTGCATGTAATTGAATTGTTGAATTGAATTGTAACAGTTTATTTAGCCAGAAAAATACAGATACAGAGTGGATAATAATAACAATATTAACATGGCTGAGCCAGTTGAGAACATGAGCTCTCTTTGAGGCACCTGATATATACTATACATTTATCTCAAGGAAGTATTATGTAACATTTAGTATCATCTGGAATAGTACAATAGCATGGTAGTAATAAGTACATCTCATAATGTTACCATGGTTATCACTTCAATATTTATTTATTTTATTATTTATTATTTTTATTTTTATTTATTTATTTATTATTATTTTTTTTTATTATTATTGTTTGTTTTTTATTTATTTATACATACATATACACATACCTATACATATATACACATACAGCGGGGTATGCTATAACGAACGGATCCTACTACGAATATTCCTATAACGAACGGTTTTACCTATAAAATTGAGAATGCTATAACGAACGCAACTCCTACAACGAACGCGGATGAATACGGGACTATTTCGCCTGGCTCATGAATATTGTTGTACCACGACTGTAAGATTGTACCATCGTACGATATGTTTTCCCACGTTGAGATGGGGGCTTGTCTTTGGCAGCGCCCGGTTGCCAGTCACCAGCTGACGCTGTTAGAATAAAGTCTACAAAGAACGCGGTCTATGACTCCAACCTCTCACATGGCGCAGTGAGTAGGATATGTCGGGGCCCGACACGCCATTACAGCCCTGACAAGAACGCTGACATGGCCCCTACACGTCCACGATTCTTGACGCCCTGAAGGGGACGCCAGGGCTTCTCTACACCGGCGGGGAACACCACGCGCGCCCAGCAGCAGGCCATGAGTGCATTGATGGCTCAGATGGCGTCTCTAGTTGCTGGCGGTGGTCATGCTTCTATGCCGGTCATGAAGCCCTCAGCAGCTGTCGCACCAGAGAAGTGTGAGGCAGAAATGCCAGCAGCTGCGTTTAGGACATGGAGGCGGTCCATGGAGTCATGGATGCTGTTGAACGGATAGTCACAACTGATGGCCACACTCCACATTTGCCTGAACTGCGTCCCTCCACTCCAAAGGGTGATTGACTCGAGATATCCCAGCGGTCAGTGGGAGCAGCTCTCGACCAAAGAAGCCCTGGACGCCATCAGTGGAATGGTTCTTCAATCTTCAAACCAGGCTGTGAAATGGAGCGAGTTTTTCAACAGCAAACAAGGTGAAGAGGAGCCCATGAAAAGGTATTTTCAACACTGCTTTCGCAGAGGCAGTGGAGTGTGAATTTAAATGTCCCACCTGTGATAACGACCTCTCTGAGTACATGCTATTACGTAAAGTTATGGTGGGCCTGAGTAACACCAGTGTTGAAAAGGGAAATTTTCCAGGGGTACTCTAGTTATAATAGTGTTGAAGTGCTTAGAAACAAATGCATGTTATTTGAGGCAGCAGTGAGAGATGCTGGTGTATTGTGTCGTACTTCTGACCAGGCAGTGGTGGGAACAGCCGCGGAGGCAGTGGCGGTTGGTGATGACGTCACCAGTGAGTCCGAGGTAGCTGCCGCCCGACCTGGACACCCGAATCGCGCGCACTGTGGTAACTGCGGCATGTCACATGCCTCTGGTAAAAGTAACTGCCCTGCAAGTGGGGCTACATGTCGCAATTGCTGTAAGGTTGGTCACTTCAAAAGGTGTTGCAGGAGTAAGTCAGCCCTAAGTGCTCCTGTGGATGTGTCAGGTGCTGTTACAGTGGCAACAGCCCAGCTATCCCGCCACCCCAGGTTACAAGTGTTCGTGCCCCAGGCCGGGGGCAATTCCCCCGCCACCCCTGTGCTGGCTGTAGCTGACATGGGTGCTATGGTGTGTGTGGCAGGCGCATCCCTGCTCCGGGACATCGGTTTGTGTCCGGGGCAACTTCGGGCCCGTAATGGCCTAAGGGACGTGGCAAACAAACAGCTCAAGTGTCTGGGGTCCGCCCCCTGCCGCCTCGGTGTGGACGAGGGGTCCACCGTCCAGGAGGTCTACTTCGTGCAGACAGCCAAGGCCCTCTATCTGTCATTGGAGGCCTGCAAGTGCCTCAACTTGGTGCCTGTCGACTTCCCGCTCCATAGACGTGCTGTGGCTGCCGTGAGCGATGGAGGGGAGCGGCACACTGCCGACGATCTACCTCCGAACCCTTTACCTGAGAGCAGCTGTTTCCCGCCGAGGCCAGTTGAGATACCCTTGCCTCCTTTGGAGGAGAATGTGGCCAGGCTGGAGGCATGGCTACTCACGCACTTTTCGTCTACCGCATTCAACACCAGCAGGTCCCCACTGCCAGTCATGACTGGTCCCCCTCACCGTATCCACCTGACGCCCGGCACGACCCCCTACGCCTGTCACACACCTGCTCCCGTTCCGAAACACTGGGAAGCGGAGGTGAAGGCCCAGTTGGAGGAAGACGTCAGGAGAGGCGTCATCCAGCCAGTGCCTGCTGGTGAGGCTACGGAGTGGTGCGCCAGGATGGTCGTGGTGGCCAAGAAAAACGGTCAGCCCAGGCGCACTGTGGACTTCCAACGCCTCAATGCAAGCTGTCTGAGGGAGACGCACCACACACCTGCACCATTCGACATGGTGTCTGGGGTGCCAGTGCACTCGTTCAAAACCGTCGCCGACGCCTTTTGGGGATTTCATCAAGTGGAGTTGGAGGAGGAGAGTAGACGCCTGACCACATTCATCACGCCGTGGGGCCATTTTCGATACTGCAGGACGCCCATGGGACATTGCTCAGCGTCAGATGCTTACACCAAGAGGTTTGACGACGCTATTCAGGATGTGCCCCGCAAGTACAAGTGCGTGGATGACACTCTCCTCTATGACTCCAGTGTGGAGGGGGCGTTCTGGCACACTTACGATTTTCTGGAGACCTGCGCTCGCACAGGTATCACGCTGAAACCAGAAAAGTTCTTGTTCTGCAGGAGAGAAGCCGAGTTTGTGGGTTTCCTCCTGGGGTGGGACCTGTACCAGCCCACTGCCCAACGTCTGTCAGCCATCAAGGACTTCCCCATGCAGGATCAGCCATCAATCACTGACATCAGGTCCTGGCATGGCTTGGTTAACCAGTTGGCTCCCTTCCTTGCCACTGCACCTGTGATGGAGCCCTTCTGTGAGCTCCTCAAGAAGCCAGTGAGCAAGCAGGTGTATTGAGACGACCAGCTGCTGCTCAAGTTTCGCCAGGCCCAGGACACCATCTGTCAGTTGGCCAGAGACGGCTTGGTGTACTACGACAAATCCAGGCCTACGGCAGCTGTCACTGATTGGAGCAGGGAGGGCATCGGCTTCGTCGTCCTGCAACAATACTGTGCCTGTGCCTCTCCAGAGATGCCCTTCTGCTGCAGAGGAGGGTGGCGGTTGGCTCTGTGTGGTAGCCGACATCTGAGCACGGCCGAGGCCGGTTATGCTGCAGCAGAAGGGGAGGCCCTGGCTGTGGTGTGGTGCCTGCGCAAGGCCAGGCTGTTCCTCCTTGGCTGCCCGAACCTCATTCTGGCGACGGACCATTGCCCCTTAGTTGGCTTGCTAGGGGACAGAGCCCTCACGGATGTGGCGAATCCGCGCCTGTTCAGGCTCAAGGAGAAGACCCTGCAGTACCGATTCACGGTCAAATACTTGCCAGGGAAGCGGAACTGTGCAGCTGACGCCCTATCCCGCTTCCCCTCCCTCAGGGCGGCGCCTGATGCGGAGGACATGGACCAAGAGGAGGACCTGTGCGCTGCAGTGTGTGCAGTCACAATCGCAGCACTGGATCAGGATGGGTGCATCACTATGGACGAAGACACAGTGTGCAAAGCGGCTGCGGACGACCCAGTGTACCAGATTCTAGTGTCGAGGGTGCTGGCGGGCGACTGGCATCCCCACAAGTCGCAGGAGGTGGCCTGCCTGCGCCTGTACTTCTCGGTGAGGGACAGGTTGGCTGTGGTCAGGGGTTTGGTCACCTACACCTTTGACCAGGGCTGCGTGCGCCTTGTCATCCCCGACTCCCTCCGCCACCGGGTCGTCGTTAACCTGCATGTGGGGCACCAGGGCCTCGACTCAATGCTCAGGCGGGCCCGGCAGTCTGTCTATTGGCCTGGCATGGAAGGTGACCTGCAGTATCATCGGTCCTGGTGTGCTGCTTGCGAGACCCACGCCCCTTCCCAGCCTCCGGAGTCGTTGGTTCTGACCCCAGCGCCAGACTATCCCTTTCAACAAGTGGTGGCCGATTTGTTCCACCTGCAGGGCCGCACGTACCTAGCATATGCTGACCGACTGACAGGTTGGCTGGACATCGCCCACTTCCCCAACGAGGCCACCTCTGGAAAAATCATCGCCAGTCTGCGGGCCTACTTGACGAGGTGGGGGGTACCTGAGCAGATCTCCACGGATGGAGGTACCAACCTTGCCAGCCTTGAGATGACAGATTTCCTCAAGTCATGGGGGGTCGAGGTGCGCCTCTCGTCGGCCCACTTCCCCCAGTCCAATGGCAGGGCAGAGGCTGGGGTCAAGGCTGCCAAGAGGCTCCTCAGGGATAACACTGGGCCCGGGGGTAGCCTGGACTGCGATAGGACATCCCAGGCCCTCCTCCAGTACCTGAACACGCCTCTGCGGGGTGTGAACAAGTCGCCTGCCCAACTTGCCACCGGCCGCCAGCTCCGTGACGGCGTTCCCGTTCCCAGACAGCACTATAAGGTGGACCAGCACTGGCGGCGGGTACTTCATATGAGAGAGGTGCGCTTGGCCGAAACCCAGGATGGGGTCCTGTCGCAGAGGGAGGTATCCCACCAGCTGGCTCCCCTAGTCGTGGGCACGCAGGTGCGTGTGCAGGACGCAGCTACCAAGCTCTGGGACAGGACAGGCATAGTGGTGGAAGCCCGCCCTCACAGGCAGTATGCCGTCAGGGTTGAGTGGCAGTGGCAGGGTGTCCATCCCCAACAGACGCCACCTGCGAAACGGCTCCACACCTGTGCCTACTACTCCGGTGGTGCACCAAGCTGTGCCTCCTGGCCCCCCTTCTGCTGTGCCCTCCGTACCCGCGCCCTCCTTCGCACCCACGGCCCCTCCCCAGTCGAGCGCGGCCAGGCCCAGGAGAGGCCGTCGGCCTCCGGGCTGGTTGACGGACTACATGGTGTAGTGTATGTGATGTAAAATCAGTTTAGAGGGTTTTTTTTGTTTTTGTTTTCCTTTGTTTGACTGGTTTTTCCTGCATTATTGTTGTTTTTATGAATGCATTGATTTCCTTTTGTTAGTTCAAATGTGCATTGTCATTTCCTTTTAACTTGGGGGGGAGATGTAAGATTGTACCATCGTACGATATGTTTTCCCATGTTGAGATGGGGGCTTGTCTTTGGCAGCGCCCGGTTGCCAGTCACCAGCTGACGCTGTTAGAATTAAGTCTACAAAGAACGCTGTCTATGACATCAACCTCTCACAGCGACCCACAACAAGAGCGTCAGGCGCCATCTTTGTCTCATTGTGTAGCCAGTGCACCACTGTTATTGTTGAAATTTCATCTTTTGATGTGGAAATTCGCGTTATTTGTATAACTATTTTGTTATACAAGTATACAATTGTAACAATGAATCATCCAAAGCGAGTGAGAAAGCTAATAACTCTTTAAACTAAGAAAAAAATTATAAAGAAACGTGAGAATGGAAGAAGCATTGCGAAACTTAGTGATGAATATGGGATGGCTAAATCGACTATATGTACGATTTTGAAGAATAAAGGGGAATTAAAAACTGTGCAAGTGGCTAAGGGAATCTTTAGACTTAGCAAAGCAAGGTGTAATGTGATTGAAGAGATGGAAAATTTACTCTTAGTGTGGATAAAGGAGAAAGAAATGGCAGGTGGTAACATTAGTGAAGCTATAATTTGTGAGAAGGCTAAACAATTGTTTGAGGACCTTAAAGCCAAGACTCCCAGTGGAAGTGATAGTGCTGTGCCAGTGTTTAGGGGTACCTGCATGCTGAATAACACTAAGGTAAGATAAAGTACCGTATTTTTTACATTTTCCACAGAATTTTTTCAGTGTTAAGTGGTTGTATTTGGGGGCCTGGAACGGATTAATCCTATAACGAACGAATGCTATAACAAACGAGGTTCTGGAACCAATTACGTTTGTTATAGCATATCCCACTGTATATATATATATATATATATATATATATATATATATATATATATATATATATATATATATATATATATATATATATATATATATATATATATATATATATATATACATATATATATACACACACATACACATATACATATAAATTAGAGTGGGGAGCAGTACAACCTGGGTTGTAGAGTAATAAGGTTGAACAAGAGGACAGAGCTTTCAGGATTATGTCTAGTTGGCAATTATGTTTATTGCAATGGTAATTACTTATTTATTTACAGGAATAATTTCCGATAAAATGGATTTGGTGGTACAATAAAAGCAGGTACTGTAAATATAGTAAGTGTTACAAGAAATAATAATACTTTGACAATAGATATTTTTTTAGAGATGATTTAAAGGAAGGGAGCGTAGTCTTTGCTCTGATGGGTGGGGGTAAGTTGTTCCATACCTTCACACCATGATATTTTATGGAGGTCTGGGACTGAGAGGAGTGCATGGGGGGTGGTCTTAGTAGCTCTGGGTGCCTTAAGTTGTATCTCTGATTATTCCGGAACTGGAAGTAATTATTGTCAAGCAAGTGATTGATAGATTTGTAAACAAAGAGGGCACAGCAGTAAGGGTTAATATCTTCGAATTTTAAAAATTTCAATATAGCAAATTTTTCGCTTGTGTGATCTGTTTTTTTCAAGTAGGTCATTGTCCGTACAACTCTCTTTTGTGCAGTAACCAGAGATTGTGTTTTTGAAGAGCCAGAGGCCCCCCATAGTGTGTGACAGTGTATCAGGTGTTGGTAAACAAGATCATGATAGATTTCTTTCATTGCTGTGAGAGTGAGTGACTGTCGAGTGTGATACATGATACCGCACTGTTTATTGACTTTACTGTGAATGGTTTGTATGTGGTTTCTCCAGTTAAGTTTTTCATCAACAATAACTCCGAGGAATTTAGTATTTTGTTCGCGTTTGAGGGCTGTATTACCAAGGTACAGAGGGTCCAAGTCTGGGGGTAAGTTTTTCCTTCTGTGAAAGATCGTGTAGTGGGTTTTCTCAAGGTTTAGGGTCAGTTTAATATGTATTACCCAGGTCCCGACTTTAGTTAATTCAGTGTTCATAGTTCTCATCAAGGAATGGAGGTCTAAGTTGCTGGCATAGAGATTACTATCGTCTGCAAATAAGTTGTATTTTATGAGTGGGCTGGCGTGGACTATGTCGTTTATGTACAACAAAAACAGTACTGGACCGAGAATTGAACTTTGGGGGACTCCATATAAGATAGGCGAGGAGTCAGGTTGGTGGTTATTATAACAGACATACTGCATCCTGCTGGACAGATATGAGGTAAAAGGATCATTAACACCATCAATGTTTTATAGCCATTTTCCACACTCGTATGGGTTAACTGTGATTACCTGATGGCAGCTCTCCATGCAGCATGGTCTCTTGCAGTCTTGTCAGGTTCTGAACTCTGATGTCATTTATAGGAAAGGATGGTTGTATTCATTTCTTGTGGTGGCAGGTCTAACCTACAGCCTCTAGTATTGTTTATTTTTGCAAAATATATGAACATTTTAATATTTAGCATTGTCAATCGGCACGAATACTGGCGTGACAGCAATTAATGCCTTACTCGCATCGAGTCAATGGCTCCCTAGACAATTAACTAACACCGAGCGCTGTCAGGCTAATGAAGTTTTTGTTCAAAATGGATGTATAACTACAAACTTTATTATTACCTGAGGGCTGCAATGGTGTCGTCTTGGCGCATTACAGTGGCTTTTAAAAGCTGGAGTTCTTCCGACCCTCCTACTTGCCTCGTCTTACCCAAGGATGTGTGTTCACCTTTCTTTTGTTGCCTCTAAAAATGAAGACAATGAGTAATTGAGTGGAAAAATAAAAATATATTTTTTTTTCATTAACAGTCAAATGTCATTTTCATGAAGTTTACTGTTAAGCAAAACAAGTTAAATCTACAGTACTGTAATTCTGTGACTGAAAGAAATAATCAAAATGAAGGGTGTTCCATTTTGTAGATCTGCTTTTGGATTGCATGGCAGCCTATTAACATGAGCCTTATAGGTTCCTAAGCACTATTCATTTAAAGTTTTGATTTTGTTGTTGCCGAATCACTATGCTGTACTTATCTTTTACCATCCTGGAATCAGAATCCAAGCCCAAATATTGAAAACGATGACGTGTCTTTATTCTTGGATCCATTCTCAAGTCAGGATCCTAAAAACAATATTGCCATACTTGAATATAAATCTAAGTCTGGATCCTCAAAGTAACATCCCCTTTTTTGGATGCATGTTCAAGCCTGAATCCTCAAAAAGGAATGTCCCCATCCTTAAATTCAAATTCAAGTCTGTGACCCAAAAACAGAACGTTCCCCAACATGATTTTAGAGTACCAGAGGTGTGGACCGAGAAGAGGTCTGTGCTAGATGATACAACAGGTGATCCTTCTCTTGACGAAGTGCCAAGATGTGGGCTGCTAAGGCTGCTTCCTCTTTCTGTAGTGCTCGCAATTCTCTTGTTCGTCCATTAATGTCTGCCTGTAATTGATTTGTGTTTGTAAGGTATTCCAATGTTTGTTATATATTTAATTTCTCCTCCACCCTTGCATGCATTGTCCCACATAGTGCAGGCTGGTCAGATTCAAGAGCAACGCAAACTCTCCCTCACTGTTTGGTATTTATTCTTTTTAGCTGTCCAGAACCATCCTGAGGCAATGTTTCCCACCCATATATATACAGGTGTATATATATATATATATATATATATATATATATATATATATATATATATATATATATATATATATATATATATATATATATATATATATATATATATATATTATATATATATATAATATATATATATATATATATATATATATATATATATATATATATATATATATATATATACGTTAATAGGTTATTTTAAGTGCACTTGTATGAATTCTAATATAAAATTGGAACAGTAATTTAGTTATAATGAATTAATTGGCCATTTAAACATATAAGATCTATCAGTTATTTTTCTTTTCTCCTACTTTTGTGTAAGACGGACCAAAGAAAGGGAGAAAATAATTGTGAGATTGGTACACAACACACGTACAGAGTAGTGTGGGGTTATATGAGATGTTTCTCCTCCATCCTGTGTGAGTGGTCACTCCGGGGTCGCCATTTGTGGGGTTATGAGATGTTTCTCCTCCATCCTGTGTGAGTGGTCACTCTGAGGTCACCATTTGTGGGGTTATATGAGATGTTTCAATGTTGTGCTTCTGTCGCTGCAGGTACAGAGTCCTCAGATGCACCTGCTGGGGTGTGTGGGTCTGGGTCAGGAGCAGGGGCTGCGTCACCATCGTCACTGGCTGGGATGACTGGGTCACGGGTGACGTCAGGACGGTCTATGACAGGAGCAGGTTCTACAACAGCGTTTGTAGGGGAGGAATCCACTACAGTAGCAGAAAAGGTTGTGGGGTACGGGTTATTTGGTTCACACTCAGAATGGGATGGAGAAAGGAAACTCACAATGTGCTCTCTGTATACATATTGTATTGGATGTACAGTGGAGCTTGGTGCTGGGAAGTGGCAGCGTGGTTACAAGCGTGATGTAGAGAGAGCTGGTTGGTGAGGATGCTCAGAGGAGGACCAGCTTGTGGGTCGCCATGCTCGCCGGCGGGAGCGAGGGCCGCCAGGCAGGAGCAGAGGAGGTGGTGTTACTTGAAGACTGGCTGTAGGTCGAAAGAGAGAGGTAGGTCACCACGAGGTCAGGTCTTATATAGCGGAAGTAGGCGTGGCTTAATAGTTGACCTCCGTCATGTAAGGCTGCGCTGGTTGACTTAGACCACGAGGCATACACTGGGGAATTCGCGGGGTCGACTACTCAGCGACAAACAGCGTTTGTAGTGGAGGAATCCACTACAATAATCCCCCTTCCCTCCAGACGGTGTTGGAGACTTGTTGTCTGCAGGGTTGCATGGCACATGTGAGGTAGAACGGGCGGTGCATGCCACATGTGAGACATAACGGCGAGGGCGTGGATGAGCCGACCGCTATGGGGAGACAACTGTCTAGACACACGAGATCTGTGGGAGAAGAGAGGGAGAAAAAGGGTGTGTGGGGGCGATTAATGTTGTGCTTCCCTCGCAGCAGGTACAGAGTCCTCAGATGCGCCTGCTGGGGTGTGTGGGTCTGGGTCAGGACCAGGGGCTGCGTCAGGAAGAGGGTCTATGACAGCAGCAGGGTCCACGACAGCAGCAGGGTGCAGGACAGTAGCAGGGAGTACCTGAGGGAAAAAAGAGGGGTGTGTGTGGGTCCGCGTCAGGAGCAGGGGCCGCGTCGGCGTCTAAGGCAAGACGGGTGTGTTGGGGTCGGTAGGACGTGGTGCTTGGTGCAGGAAGAGGAGCGGCTGTTTGCTTAGAGTAGCAGAGCTGCTCTAGGGTGTCTAACCTGCGGTGTAGAGACTGTTGCTGTAGAGCCGATGAGCTGCCTCTGTGTGAATAAGCCAGTCTTCCATGTTGCTTGAAGACTGAGAGAGTGATCGGTTTCTCCTCCATCCTGTGTGAGTGCGAATCTCCGGGGGTCACCATTTGTGGGGTACGAGTTATTTGGTTCACACTCAGGATGGGATGGAGAAAGGAAACTCACAATGTGCTCTCTGTATACATATTGTATTGGATGTACAGTGCAGCTTGGTGCTGGGAAGTGGCAGCGTGGTGACAAGCGTGATGTAGAGAGAGCTGGTTGGTGAGGATGCTCAGAGGAGGACCAGCTTGTGGGTCGCCATGCTCGCCGGCGGGAGCGAGGGCCGCCAGGCAGGAGCGGAGGAGGTGGTGTTACTTGAAGACTGGCTGTAGGTCGAAAGAGAGAGGTAGGTCACCACGAGGTCAGGTCTTATATAGCGGAAGTAGGCGTGGCTTAATAGTTGACCTCCGTCATGTAAGGCGGTGCTGGTTGACCTAGACCACTGGGGAATTCGCGGGGTCGGCTACTCAGCGACAAACAGCGTTTGTAGAGGAGGAATCCACTACAAGGTCTAAGAAAAGACATTTGCTCTCATCCTCGACTTAAAAACACTATAATGCAAAGTGAATCTTGTCCTTCATATTAACTGACAAGACTTCATATCAATTCTTTGCATATACAGTACTAACTTGATGTTATTTCAATAAACAATTATCTGTACTGTAATTCAGTCTAGTGTTTTTTTATTTCATCCTTTCAAGTCCTTTCCATTTAGGGTGGCTAGAAATATTTAACATGCACTCATTTTCTCTCTATTTGCTTGTTATTCATTCTCTCTTACTAATGTACAATATGTGTGCTTTGTGCTCCATTTCCACATCAAACCTTACACCGTCTTTGGTTTACCTTTCCGCCACTTTACACAAACCAGTATCATCTATAAGCAGCACATCTTTCCCCAAATCACTAAATGCCTTGCTCTCTGTCCATTCAAACACAACTACATTTTGGATATTCATTATGAACAAACTCGTGACAAATGAACGAATTCAATTGATGTTTAGGTGTGTTCAAATTGTTTCCAAAACCAAGTCATGATTCTGCTGATAACAGGAAAAATATTAAACTAAACTTAATTTATCTTCATATATTTGCTTTTAATTTGTCCAATATTGTTGTGACTCATTCCACTTGTTTAAAAACGTATTTATTACATTATTAACTGATCTCATCCTCAGCCTCTTTATATTCTTTCTGGGTCTTCTACTTACACACTTAATGAAAACCCAGACTACATACTGTAGGTGTGACACTTTTGACTACGTATTACCTGGAGCTGGTTCATGGTTGTGTCATGGCGAGTCATCTGGCTGGCGACTTTGCCTGGCCAGCGCAGGTCAAGGCTTGTGCCTAATTTATCCTGCACAATGCCCATGTCTACTTCGGCTCCCATTCCCAATTTGCATGCCTTGGTCACCTTTTTGGGGGGAAAGAGGTACAGTATACATAATTATTTTTCTAACTACTTCATTATATATTTGACATACGATGATGATTATTAAAGTATTGTAATAGAATACTTCAATCTACCACATTTCATTCTTCATTTACTGTTCAGAAAAGAAGCGTCCTAAGCAAAAATTTTGTTAATGTTACGTCCTTTTAACTGATGTGTATAACACGTGCTAAATTTACAATGTGTACTATCCATATAAGCTGGAATCCTGTCTTCACAATCTGCGCCATATCATTTAGTGTATATACAGTACAGTATTCAATACCTGGTAAGTCTGTCGCAAATTGTGCAGCTCCTCTTTCAGTTGCTCCACCTGCTGTGTAAGGGCGCGTCGCTCTGCTCGTCCTTCCCTGATGAAGACATTACCGTAAGTACTTCAGCAATTAGACAACACAAGAGTGAGGTACTAACTCAGGCCAGGTGTGTTCTTATCAATTATGATGACATTAAAAATATAGAAGCTTTAGGTGTTATCATATTGAATAAATAGGTATATATAAGTGCAGTACAAATGCTATACCTCTTTCCCCTCTTAAGTTATGCTGCTGATGTACAGTTAAATACCATACACAACGAAGACTGCCGCTGCTCTCACAAAATTTTTAATGTATATCTCTGTATACAAAATATGAATACAAATATTCAAATATTTCCCATACAGAAAAATGATACACTACATAGAAATGATAAATATGCACACGCACACACACAAACATATATATATATATATATATATATATATATATATATATATATATATATATATATATATATATATATATATATATATATATATATATATATATATATATATATATATATATATATATATATGCAAGTAAATCACTGTAGGTGCGCGTGATCCAGGTATATGCTGATAACCACAAGGAAACAAGAAAACACGAAGCTCCCAAGCGCTTTCGTGTAATTCGCATCTTCAGGGGTGAGTACAGACTAACGAGAAATACATAACAAGGCATATATATACAGTAGAAGAGAGTGAGATCAAGTCCCTAGGGGACAGTGAGTGTTGCTACCTGACCCAGCTTGGAGAAGGTCGTGCCCGCAAGTGCTCCCGTTAGAGACCAAGGAAAATGGCCGCCTTGGATCGTTGTGTCTTGGGGGAAGAGGAGGGGAGTGTGGGGAAAGACGACCTCCTTGCCACTCTGTTAGGGCAGCTGGGGCAGTTGAGGAGTGAGGTTGACACTCTAAAGGGGGAAAATGAAGCCCTCAGGACGGAACTCCTTCAGGTAGGTGTCCTGCCTAGCAGGACACCTGCGAAGGAGGAGCAAGCGTGGAGAGTGGTTGTCTCCAAGGGACTAGGGTCAGGCTCAGGAAAGCTGACCAGGGTGTGGAGTGTAGTAACCCTTACCAGGTGCTGCAGGAAGCTAGCAAGGAAGAGAAGAGGCAGGACGGTATGGAGCAAGGAGAGGAAAGGGCAGTTGTACAAACCTTGCCCACAGGTAAGGTCGTGGTAGTTGGGGACAGCCAGGTGAGGTTTGTAGATAGGGCTTTTTGTGCGAGAGATAGGAAACGTAGGACTAGGGTGTGTTTTCCTGGGGCTGGGATAGGGCATGTAGCTGAGAGGTTAGACAGGGTTTTGTCAGGGGAGGGTACCAATCCAGTAGTGTGTCTTAGCGTGGGAGGAAACGACATGGTAAGGTTAGGAGTGAGGAACTTTTCAAGAGGTATAGGGAGGCGCTGGGGAAGATTAGAGATAGGGGAGGGATCCCGATAGTATGTGGTGTCTTGCCTAGAAGAGGGGTTGGTCGTGAATGGCTGTCCGGGGCAATTGCTATAAATTGCCGACTGGAAAAACATTGTGCAAACAATGGTTGGGCATTCATTGACAGCTGGCAACGATTCTATGGCAACGACTACCTGTACAGTCGCGATATCCTTGCACAGGATGTAAGGGGGTGCCCAATAAACTAGCCCCCTCGGGGGCAAATCTGAATCTGTACAGTCGCGACGGAGTACACTTGTCTCGTGAGGGGTAAAGACGTTGTCTGCATCCCTGGAGCGTGAAATTGTCACTCCGAAGGGGGGGTTTCGCCAGTAGAGAGAGGTCGGGGAAAGTGGGAGTCAAAAAACAAGCAGGTCCTGGGAAGTAAAATTAGTTGCTCAGGACAAGGGGTAAAACAGGACCAGGGAAGGGTAGGTTTAAATGTATACTATACAAACAGTAGGAGCGTTAGAAATAAAATAGACTTGCTGAGAGCGGTTGTATGTACCGAGAATGTAGACGTCATAGCAATCACCGAAACTTGGATGAATCTGGAGAGCAAAATTTTTTTATCAGAGTACCACATAGAAGGGTACAACCTTTTTCACAAGGACAGGGAAGGTAGGAAGGGGGGAGGGGTCGCACTCTTCGTCAAGGATACATTAAAATGTTGTATTAATAATTCAATAAAGGGTGAAATAGGAACCGAGTCTGTGTGGGTAGAAATCACGGAAGGGAGAGAAAAACTAATTATGGGAGTGATTTACAGGTCCCCCAAGTCTTGGCAAAGAAGCAGCTCAGCCCATATGGCAGGAAATGAGTAGGGCAGCAAAATATAACAATCTATGCATTATAGGGTTTTCAACTTCAGAAATATTGACTGGGACAACATTGTAGGCGACTATGAATCTGAAGACTTCCTAGATGCAGTACAGGACAATTTTTTGAAACAACTAATTACAGAACCTACTAGAGGTGACAATATATTAGACCTAATATTAACAAATAAAGAAAATATTATCAGAGATATCACAGTAGGGGAAGAACTAGGTAACAGTGATCACAGAGAAATCAGGTTCACCCTAAATTGGGAAACGAAAAACAATGACAATATGGTCAGAGTCCCAATCTTTCGGTTGGCGGATTATCAGGAGTTAAGAAGGTACCTAGGTGAGGTCACCTGGGAACAGTCACGTCAGTCCCCAGTAGGAAGGGGTGAGGTCATAGATGACACAACAATTGATCATGACTATAATATATTCACTAGTATACTACATAAAGCACAAGAACAAAATATACCATACAGAAAAATTAGGTCAAATAAGAATGAGCCAAGGTGGATGCCCAGAAAACTTAAACATGACATAGGAATAAAGAAAGGAATATATAAGAAATTAAAGGGAGGGGAGGAGCAGCTCAGAAATAGGTATAATGAACTATCTAGGAATGTTAAGAAAAATGTAAGGAAAGAAAGAGAGACTATGAAATCAAAATAGCAAGAGAATCCAAGGCGAATCCCAAGGGATTTTTCCAGGTATATAGGACAAAGGTCAAGGACAAAGTTGGGCCTTTAAAGTCAGGGAGGGGAGAAGTGATAAATGGCAGTGAAGAAATAAGCAAAGCATTGAACAGCTACTTCTTATCAGTTTTCACAGAAGATATTTGAGATGAAATTCCAGAGGTGGAACTGATATTTAAGGGAAAGGAAGAAGAGAAATTAAAGAATATCACTATCAGAAAAGAGGATGTTCTTGAGAAGATAAATAAACTAAAGAAAACAAAATCCCCAGGGCCGGATGAAATTTTCCCTCGAGTCTTGAAAGAGTGTAGGGAACAGATTAGCGGACCCCTCGTAAACTTATTTACAAAATCATTAGACACTGGAGTTGTGCCAGACTTGTGGAAACAGGCAAATGTAGTACCCATATTCAAAAAGGGAGACAGAGCATCAGCGTCAAATTACCGGCCGATCAGTTTGACGTCAGTAGTGGGGAAATTTCTTGAATCAATTATAGCAGATAGCATCCGATCGCATCTAGAGAAAAGCAAATTAATCTACGACTCTCAACATGGGTTTACAAAGGGAAAATCTTGTCTAACAAATCTGCTAACGTTTTTTAGGAAAGTCTTCGAGGTAGTAGATAATGACGAAAATTACGATGTTATTTACTTAGACTTTAGCAAAGCATTTGACAGAGTACCGCATCAGAGGCTTCTGAGAAAAATTAAGGCTCATGGTATCGAGGAAAGTTTTAAATTGGATAAAATCATGGCTCACCGATAGAACGCAGAGGGTCAGCGTAGATGGTGTTAAATCTGAGTGGGGCCGTGTAACCAGTGGGGTTCCCCAGGGGTCAGTACTAGGCCCACTCTTGTTCATAATCTACATGAACGATCTAGATACTGGGATCAGCAGTGACATAAGCAAGTTTGCGGATGACACCAAAATAGGGCGGCAAATTAATTCAGGGCAGGATGCAAATGCATTACAGGAGGATCTAAATAAACTGCAGGAGTGGTCTGAAAAATGGCAAATGAAATTCAACACCAGCAAGTGCAGCATACTTAATATTGGAAGAACAAATACTTATAATGTATACAGCCTTAACAACATCAACCTAGAGAAGTCGACTTGTGAAAGAGACCTAGGGGTACTTGTAAGCCCGGACCTACGGCCTAGAAAACAGTGCGTTAATGTTCGAAATAAAGCAAACAGAGTATTGGGTTTTATATCTAGAAGTGTAAATAACAAGAGCGCAGAGGTCTTATTGCAACTATATCTTGCGCTAGTCAGGCCGCACCTCGATTATGCGGTTCAGTTCTGGTGCCCCTATTATAGAATGGATATAAATTCACTAGAGTCGGTGCAGCGAAGAATGACAAAAATGATTCCGGGACTTAGAAATCTTCCATATCAGGATAGGTTAAAGAAACTTAACTTGCATTCACTAGAAAGACGAAGAGTGCAGGGAGATATGATAGAAGTATTTAAGTGGGTAAAAGGAATCAATAAAGGGGATATAGATAAAGTTCTTATAATATCCGAGCAGGATAGGACTCGGAGCAACGGATTCAAGCTGGATAAGTTTAGGTTTAGGAGGGAGATAGGAAGAAACTGGTTCACAAATAGGGTGGTGGACGAGTGGAACAAGCTTAGCAACTTTGTAGTAAGTGCGGGAACTCTGGAAAGTTTCAAAAGGAGGCTAGATAGATTCATGGATGATAGAGAGTGGTAGTAACTCTCGACAGGAGCTGCCATGCACAGGCCAACCGGCCTATTGCAGACTCCTTATTTTCTTATGTTCTTAATGGTCCGGTCACTAGGCAGTGACCCTACTAATCTTCATAAGCACAGCAGCAGTCCATAGTCAGGTCAGAGGGTAAGATGACCCAACCTGTTCATACCATTACTTAAATTCATGTTGTCGGATTCGGTATGTTTAATGAGACTGGATTCTATAATGTTCCTACTGTCAATTGAATTACAAGGTAATATTGAGGAGGCATTATCCCAGTCAATGCAATCAGTGCCGGATTTAGACCTGTGGAGGCCCATGGGCAGCCTCTTTGTGGAGGCCCCCCTCATTATAACTACCCAAGAGGGTGGGATGGCGAGTGAAGCAAGCCGAAACATCTGGGAAAATTTTGAAATTTGAACACTTCTTTGGAGAATTTTGAAGCCATATGCAGTTATATTGAGGAAATTAGAACATTGAGAAATTTGTAGTTAACTGTATATTTATTGACAGTGTACAAATTCCCAACACACACACACACAAAAGTGAGACATGACTGGAGTCATTCATGTTGTTTCAAGTCGACCAGCCCTGATATAGCTACTGTGGGGTATGAGATGTTTGGTTCACACTCAGGATGGGATGGAGAAAGGAAACTCACAATGTGCTCTCTGTATACATGTTGTATTGGATGTACAATGCAGCTTGGTGCTGGGAAGGCAGCATGGTTACAGGCGTGATGTAGAGAGAGCTGGTTGGTGAGGGTGCTCAGAGGAGGACAGCTTGTGGGTCGGGTCGCCATGCTCGCCGGCGGGAGCGAGGGCCGCCAGGCAGCGGCGGAGGAGGAGAAGGTGTTGCTTGCTGGTTGGTGTAGGTAGAATAAGAGCGATCACCACGAGGTCAGGTCTTAAATAGCGGGTGTTGGCGTGGCTTAGTAGTTGACCCCCGCTCCGTGGGCGGCGCTGGTTGACCTAGACCACGAGGCATACACTGGGGAATTCGTGGGGTCGGCTACGCAGCGACAAACAGCGTTTGTAGGGGAGAAATCCACTACACTACTACCGCACATGTGGAGACCCCCAGATTGTGGAGGCCCCTGGGCAGCTGCCCACTTTGCCCACTCCTGAATCTGGCCCTGAATGCAATGCTTATTATCCCTCAAATGTTTGTCCTAAGGTTGGGTCATCTTACCCTCTGACCTGACTACGGACTGCTGCTGTGCTTATGAAGATTAGTAGGGTCACTGCCTAGTGACCGGACCATTGTGGACACTCACTGTCCCCTAGGGACTTGATCTCACTCTCCTCTACTGTATATATATGCCTTGTTATGTATTTCTCCTTAGTCTGTACTCACCCCTGAAGATGCGAATTACACGAAAGCGCTTGGGAGCTTCGTGTTTTCTTGTTTTCTTGTGGTTATCAGCGCGCGCACACACACACACACACACACACACATATATATATATATATATATATATATATATATATATATATATATATATATATATATATATATATATATATATATATATATATATATATATATATATATATATGCATACATACAGTATACCGCTTCTTATATTGGATATAAACTTAATGACTGATGTCAAGTCAGTGAAGCTCATGACTCACCGGCGCCTGCGGGCTGCCAGCTCCTGTGCTACCTTAGCCTGTGCTACTCGTTGCTCCAGTAGCTGTAGGTGGTCCCGTGACAACAGAGTGGCTGCCGAACTAGACCTCTCACTTGGCCACTTCACTGCTGCCATGCTATCAACCTGTACACATCTCCTGATTTAATAGCTCTGTTTACGAGAATACGATAAATTCAACCCTAAAAAGGGTAAGAGTGGTCAAAATCGATATGGATGCACACTCATCAACAAAAGCCCTGTCGCTTCACCTGCTTCTTCACCAACCCAGAGATTCAGAGACGTGGGTTCATGAAGAAGCAGATGAGGCGACATGACTTTTGGTGGCGAGCATATCATCAGCATCATCATCATCATCAATAATCAATATTTTATGGCCATTTTCCATGTTTGTATGGGTTAGCTGCGATTATCTGCTGGTGTCTGAACAGGATCCCCTCCCACTCACCACCACAAACCTAGGGCACCAGCCATGAAAATGTAGCAGAGATTAGGCAATGCCATCAGGCATGTTGAAGCAATTTTTTATGGCATTATGTACAGTATTATGAATGGTCTTGAGTGTCATGTGTGTGTTATAAATAATAGTACAATAGTTTGAAATTATTGCATTCAGTAATTTGCCTACAATCGATGCTAAACTGATTGGACGATAGTTAGAGGATAGTGATCACTATCATTAAGAAAATGCTTTATATCCCATGCATGCAGCAGGTGCATGAATTTGACTGACCTCTGTGTTAGGGATAGGGAGGTGGGTCCCAGAAGTGAGGTCTCCAGAAGTCTGGCTCCGTCGCAGCCACACCACTGAAGGTATAACTCCCAGCTCTGCTTCTCGCTCCTCCTACAACAAGAGGATGAGTTAATGTACTTTGAAGGTATCTCACAGCCTTGCCACACTGCTGTAAAATACTGTACAGTGTGAACAAATATAGGAAAGGAAGAGACGTTATTGTCACAATGTTTATGTCAACTAATCAAGAATTAGTCATCTGCTGTGTTGCTAGTTAGTGACAAGGGCTCATGAAGAAACCATGGGTATAGTGAGGAGTCCAAAAGTGGGTCAGGGACTTGGGAGAAAAATCTATTAATCAGAAAAGGCATCCGTAAAGATGACTTGGGCCTAAGAGACACTAGATCTTACATGTCGCATCTGAAGTCGGGTATGTAACATCTAGCAAAACTCTGTTACACAGCCAAACACACCAGATCTGGCAACTTAGCAGCAGTCATAGCCATTATTAGGTATTGAAATAAAGTTTATTATTTTTATTTATATATTTTATATTTTATTTATTTTTTATAGGATTAGCCCACCGGGTATAGGTCACTGACCCACATCGGGGCCTGGGGGGCAAAAATGTAATAATAATAACAATAATAATTAGTTCAAAGTAAATAAAATTTATAAGAAAAAATACAAAATTAACAATAAAATATACCAATAATAATAACAACAACACTGATAATAATAATAATAATAATAATAATAATAATAATAATAATAATAAAGAACCATAAAGAAAAAAATCAATAGTGAGAAACAATATAAGTATGTTGTGTTGTCAAAATTGAGAAAAACAACTGAAACCCTGCAATTGTGTGTAAATGAAGCAGAAAGTCAAATTAACGACCTGGGATTTGGTCACAATTTTTGTAATGCCATATGGCAGCAGGGTCTACCATTAGACAACACAATATGCTTCCAATATCTTCCCAGTCGGTAGTACCTCCTTGTTTGGTAGCTGCCTACCTAAGCAGTATACTGTTATCCATTTTATTGACTAAAAACAGAAAATTAAGCAGCAATCTTTCGTCTGGCAACGACAGACGATATTTATGTTACATTAATTCTTTCACTGGGTAAATGATAATTTCAGTTACAACATGAACACTGATATTCACAAAATTCTCTAAGTTAAACTGACGTAATATGGCGGGCGTGAGAAAGTACACATATCTGAGATATGATGGACAGCGTCAGAAATGTGATGCTACTCATCGTGCACGAGTTTATATACGGCTAACTGACAACTCAGGCTTGTGCGCTACACATGACAGAAAGGCTAATCACGCAATGACAGAAATTACATTCAACTCAGTTGCTGTACATTTAACTATGAAAATCAATGCCATGGTGTCATGGTCACATTGACTGCTAGTCTGTTTTAACTCTGAGGATTCTTATTATACTCCACGCCGGCAAAACATGAATGGGTAGCTGGTTAGCTATCCCTAAGAAGAAACGCGCTTTTCCCTCTCGACGTTTTACACTGATGATCCCTCTCTAAGCCCCGCCTTTGTGAAGACAGTTGTCAATATGTTTTTATTCCACTTTCTCCTGGCAAGTTCAATCTTGGATTAGTTTATGTAAATCAACTTTAGTAATTCGCCAGACCTTTGTCAACTGAGGGTCATCTTTGAATGTGTAATAGTTGGTTTGTTTGTAATTTCTGTCATTGCGTGAGATAGCCACGTCTGGCAACTCAGGGGTATATAAACTCTGTGCGAGGAGGAGAGAGCTCCCGTGATGCCTTCCTCCAACTTTATTCCCAGGTATGTAGCAGGTGTTCCCCAGCCGATATAGCCATTCAGTTTAATTTAGTCAATTTTGTGAGTATCAGTGTTCATGTTGTAACAGTGTAATTGTCATTCACCCAGTGTAAGAAGTAATATAAAGTAAATGTCGTCTGACGTTGCGAGACGAAGGATTTGTTGTGATTGAGTCATCCATGCTTCCTCCCGTGATGCCCTCTCCTCCACGTTGTTCCCCAGATTCAGTGTGTGGGCCCTTGGAACACCCCACCGACTGCCCCGGAGTCGGTTGCTACCTATCAATTAGCGGTAGTGACCGTGTCATGGTCACGTTGACTGCTGATCTATTTAACTAATGATTCCTATTAAACTCCATGCCCGCAAAACATGAATGAGTTAGCGACCCCTGAGAAGACGTGTTTTTTCCCCATAGATGCTACACTTGTGCTCCCTCCCAGAGTCCCGCCTTTGTGAAGACAGTTGTCAATGCGTTGTTATTCCACTTTCTCCTGGGAAGCTCAATCTTGAATTAGTCTGTGTAAATCAACTCAAGTAATTCGCCAGACCTTTCTCAACTGAGGGTCATCTTTGAATGAGTAACAGTTAGTTTGTTTGTAATTATTGTCATTGCGTGAGTAGCGATCACTGGCAACTCAGGGGTATATAAACTCAAGATGGGCAGGGAAAGCGTTCCCTGACGCTGCTCCATGTTTCTCCAGGTATGTTTTGGGTAGCCATTCAGTTAATTCAGTCAATTGTAGTGAATATCAGTGTTCACCAGTGTTCATGATTTAACAGTTGAATTGTCATTCACCCAGTGTAGAAGTAATATAACGTAAATGCGTCTGTCGTCTAGACAAGAGAGTTGTTTGTGTTGTCATGTTCCCTGACGCTGCTCCATGTTTCTCCAGATCCCATTGTGATTCTTGCAACCATTCAACAACGGCCCCGGATGTAGTAAATAACCAGCAGGGATCATATATGAAAAGATGGCACCGATGCGGCCTGATTAATGTGCCCCACGGCTTCGTTGGGCCAGACCCCAGACCCGCCATGTGTCTGGCTACCCCACAATAACAACAGGCGTGAGCCCCAGTGCTCTACCCTGGGTTACTCCTTGGAAGTGTATGTCCACAGAGAGTGTTGTGACATGTATGTTAGGGATAATTAGATGGAAATAATTATCCCATGTTGGGTAGTGGACCCCTGCATATGCTAGTTTAATTATTTACATATATGCTGAGTAAAATAATCTACAATGAGTGCCATGTAATGTAACACCAGTAATGTTGTGAGCAAGAGTAAAGAAGAAGGGACTGAGTTTGCACTAAGCCCAGGAGTTGAGCCTGGTAGTTATATGTTTAATACAATATCTTTCCCCATTGATTGCATATTAATAAACTTGTTTTTAGAGTACTTTAGGTGTATTCATTTCTCCCACAGTATTTTACCTTTATTTCCATCCAAGTGACTTGATACCAGAATCACCATACCCAGGCGCCTGGGCCCTCGACCATGCTACCAAAAGAATAGGTGACGGAACTGAGTAAGAGTAAGACTAAGAGAAGTAAGTAAGATGAGGGTGGTGTAGAGATAGAGTGGGAACCCGCGCCCTCACATTGTTGGCAGCGCCAGACCCGCGCTCTCACAACCGATGTCGGTGATTCGACACGATTGAAACGGCAGGTCTGCCTCGTGGGCCTTGGACCCCAGACCGTCAACACGTGTCGGAGTATAACAGACCACAACAGCGGTAGCCAGTTGTTAGAGGCGCCAGTGTTATACCCTGGGACATGCCTTGAAGTTATGGTCCATACAGTGCCGGATTTAGACCTGTGGAGGCCCATGGGCAGCCTCTTTGTAGAGGCCCCCCTCATTATAACTACCCAAGAGGGTGGGGTGGCGAGTGAAGCGAGCCTAAACATTTGGGAGTTCTGGGGGGCGCTGTAAGCCCCCCCAGGAAAATTTTGAAATTTGAACACTTCTTTGGAGAATTTTGAAGCCATACGCAGTTATACTGAGGGAATTAGAACATTGAGAAATTTTTAATTAACTGTATATTTATTGATAGTGTACAAATTCCCAACACACACACACACACACACACACAAAAGTGAGACATGACTGGAGTCATTCATGTGGTTTCAAGTCGACCAGCCCTGATATAGCTACTACCGCACATATGGAGGCCCCCAGATTGTGGAGGCCCCTGGGCAGCTGCCCACTTTGCCCACTCCTGAATCCGGCCCTGGGTCCACAGTGGTGTTGTATGTGTTTGGGGATAATTATCCCATGTTGGGTAGTGAACCCATGTATAAGTTGTTGGTTTCAGTAATAATGTGTTGGGTGTTGTGAGTGCATCTCATATGTACTAACAACAGTGCGAAGGTATCATATGTAAGTTTGTCTTATAACTGTTAATGTAATGTATCACCAGTAATTTGGGAGAAGTCAAAGTACTGTACCCACTTGGAGTGGCATTTGAGTAAAGCCAAGGAATTGGTCCTGGTAACTGTAATGTTATGCAACACCAGCAAGGTTGTGAGTAATAAGAGTACAGTACCGGGTAATTTGCAGTTGAGTAAAGCCGAGGAGGTGCACCTTGGAGTTGTATGTTAATGATATATTTTTCCATACTTGGATTTCATATTAATAAACCTTTTCTTAGAGTACATTAGGGGTGTTCATTTTCCCGCAGTAGTTCACCTTTATTTCCGTCCAAGTGACTTGATACCAGAATTACAATACCCATGTGCCCTAGACCCTCGCCATGCTACCAAAAAGAACTGAGGTTATGTAGTAACCATGAACTGTAATATGTAGAAAGAACAATTGAAAGAACTAAGAAAAGGGCCCAAGAGAAGTCTGAGTAAGACAAGGGGGGAAGCTTGAGTCTGAGAGTAACCCCCCCCCCCCTTACAATGGGTCAGGTGAATTTCTTACGTCTATTTTTATAATCTAATCAGAGATTGAGCTTGCCAGGAAAAAGTGAAATGGGCGTCAAATGCACAAGCTAACAATACTAGTTTCACAAACTCAGCAAGACAGCGAACTATTCACGGGGATAAGTTAGATTTTGGAGATTATGCAGGTTGACAGAATAGTTCAGGAGATTAATGACTTTCTTAAATAGACAACTGACACTAACTAAACTACAAATATCAGATTCTCTGATGTTTGGGCATCAAAATAATCTAACCAGTCGCAATTGGAAATTCATGGCTATCCCAAGGGATGATACAATATCACGGGATGCCATTCGTACTGGCAGACTCGACACTCATTTACTCGACAAGTGTTACTAACAATAAAGACAGTTGAAGCTTTCCACATCAATCACAAAGGATATTGAATGCTCTTACTGTAATCAGACATATCTAAATTGATTCAAAACAATGGTGTTCTTTCTCACATTCAAATTCACTTTATAGAGAGGTTGGTTTCAGGAAGTCAGAGAAAATGGACAGCACCCAAGCTTGGGCGCGATGAGAAAACGGACGCCTCAGATGGGGGACTCAATAAAGAAGGCATAGCTACATGTTTTGTGGGCTATTGAGAGTAATATGAATCGTCTGATTTTACGTTAACTGACGTGTATGACCGTGGTCATTACACCAGCAGTATTCATATTTGTCACACGTCAGTTTTAATTTGCCAGACATGAATTGCAAGATCTGGTGTGTTTTGGTCTTATTGAAACTAAAAGCAAGAGGATAACAAAAATATAGGTTACAGCTGCATCAACACACAACAGTACATAAAGTCTCTCAGAAAGTAAATGCCCACACAGAATTGGTATTATTAGGCTGACTGAAGAGAAATGGTTCTGGATTCACTAGGGTAATGAGGAATGTCAATGTACACTGGATTCATCCACGTGAAACAGAGGAACCTCTAGGTGACATTGTAGTGGACTTCTCCCCTACAACTGCGTAGCCGCAGCCACCAGCTGCTACCATCTTCCCTAGCAACCAAGCGGCGGCGTCACCAGATGTCACCGTATCCTCGCAACCGAGCCAAAGACTGGTTACTTCTCGGGTTTTCCCAACATGACTCATAGATGACTCACGGCTGCCGGGTATATAAGCTCTGTCTCTCCATTGAGATTCATTCTGGCCATTCTACTTGAACAAGCAACACCTCCTCCGCCGCTGCCTGGCGGCCCTCGCCTCTCCTCCGCCTGCCTGGCGGTCCTCGCTACCGCCGGTGAGCATGGCGACCCACCAGCTGTCCTCTGAGCTTCCTCACCAACCAGCTCTCTCATTCTGGCCTCTCTTCCTGAACAAGCAACACCTCCTCCTCCGCCGCTGCCTGGCGGTCCTCGCTCCCGCCGGCGAGCATGGCGACCCACCAGCTGTCCTTCTCTGAGCTTCCTCACCAACCAGCTCTCATTCTGGCCCATCTTCCTGAACACGCAACACCTCCTCCAGCAAGCTCCACGCTGTCCAGCTTTCATTCAACCAGGAGGCCAGCAACAGGCAACATCTTCTCTAACGAAGCTCCTGCACATCTACCTCCTTCAACACGCTACTCACCGTACGTCTCTACTGAGCAGCTCCTCACCACACGGCACCTCCAGCACCAGACTGTCTATCATATAACTTATATTATACAAGAAAACCACCTTAGAGTTTCCATCCATCCTGAGTGCTAGACAACATTATACCACGAAACCCCCTACAACATAAACTCACCTGAAGGGAGGTGAGAGAAGTCAGGGCAGCGTGAGCAATGTTGTTGGCTCGGAGAAGACGTCTAAGTACAGCAGCATGGCGGCGTTCCTCGAGTGCACGCTCTCGACGACTCCGTTCTACTGCCCCCGCCACCCTCCACCTGAGGAATGCCAGTGACCAACCAATCAAATGGGCCGCAAGTTTAAGAGACTCGAAATAAACCTGACTACACCATATAGTGACCTGGGACCTACTTGAATTGGGACCCATTAGACTTGCCACTTGGGAAATATCAGATTGTCATTCTCAACATCAACTTTTTACAGCCATTTTCTATGCTTGTGTGGATTAGCAAAAGAGTGAAAGAAGTGGTCATTTGAAGAAACAAAGGTTTACAGTAGGAAAGGGTCAGGGAGTGAATAAGGGGGCCAGAGTTTGAGAGGGAGAGAGTCAAGGAGGGAAAGGGAGTAGAGTATTGTATTAAGAAGTAGAGTGAAGGGTTAGGGGCAGAAGAAAGCGATCAGAGAGTAAACAGAATGAAGGAAAGTATCAAAAAGTGAAAGAAGGGATCAGGGAATGAAGGGAAATATTGGGGAATTAAGGGAAAGATCAGGGAATAGAGGGATAACATTACGTTGTCCGTACAGTTTGCTTTTAGTGTGGTGGACAAATTTAAACCAGGAAGATGTATGGTTGAATCCTTACCTCAGTTCCCGTAAGACAGTAACAAGGGAGAATACAGCTGGGTCACAACCTGCTGGTCGTGGCCCTGCCCCTTCTGTTCTGGCTTCATCTGTACCCAGTCCAGAGTCATCGTCATCACCACTGTCTCCCACATCACCTTCACTTTCCCCACTGCCGGATACTGAATGACATGATATGAAAATATGAGAGCACAAGTGGAAGTGAAAGCTGGTACAGTACATGCGTATTAAAGACTAAACACATGAACGAGGAACACAAATGAATTCCAAGACTGCAATAAGGTCCTTACACTCAGAGCCGTCCCGAGAGGTGTGTGGGGCCCAGGGCAATTAATTGACTGCGGGGCCCCTTTGCATTCTTATATATATATATATATATATATATATATATATATATATCCACCCTAATGTACTTAACCTAACCTAACCTAGCCTACCCTTCTGTATTTAACCTAACCTAGTCCACCCTCTCGTACTTAACCTAACCAAACCTAGCCCACATTATGCACTTGACCTAATATAACCTGACCCACACTCTTGTAATACACTAGAGCTAACCAACACTCCTGTATCATTAACAACCAAGGACCATAAACTAAGTGCTGCAGGTCAAATGGTTTATCCAAGTCAGCCCCAACAAAACTTAAACATTGCTATGGGGTCCATAGGGACTGGACCCTAATCCTAATGGTTAGACTTATTAAGGTAGAGTATGGGCCTATTACTATAAGGCTGGAATAAATATGATCAGTCACCCAGGCCACCTCAATCAACTTCAAAAAGTGGGTTACTATCTCATACTGGGGCCACACCATATTTTACTCTGCATTATCTAACTTAGAATGTATTGGATTCAAGATATATCAGGCTAAGGACTTATCTTCCTCAGTATGGTATGTACAGTACCTGGTATAGGTCGTACCTGACTCAGGACGTGACACGCCAGAAGTGGTACTGGATTCGAAGTAGCGGGTGAGCTGGACTTCAAATTGCGCATTATCAGTGACGAGATGGGCGAAGGCGTGGTCAACCTCCTCCTCCAGGTGAGCCAGACACTCCTGTTCACGTTCATATTCCTCAATCCTCTGACGGAGCCCCAACACCTACGTGGAGAATTGATGGCCAAGTGAGGATATGAAGATGAAGAAATAGATGGAAGAGTGGTAAGTTGCTGCGGTGTATAACAATGTAAACATATTCTGTACTGTAATAGGATACTTCATATTCCAGGTTTTTCCAAGGATATTTTCTTCTTTCGTAAGTCACAAATCAGTCAATACAGTCAACACCACATATATAAAATAAATGTCCATTTCCAGTTCTTACATAGATCAAGATCTACTCCTGATCAGAAACAACAAAAATTAGATAATTATTTTCCAGTTCTCCAAGGAGCCTGTGTGTAGGAAACTTACCTTCTCCTTGACGAGTTGCTGCTCACGAATTCTCTCTTTTAGCGCTGCCCTCAAATTCTTCTCAGAGTCCTTGTACCTCACCCTTACACCCACTGCCCGCACTAGCTGGCCGGCTCTCAATATTGCCCATGCCAGCCTCCCACGCTCACCCACCACATATTGCTCACATTTGCTAAGGGCCTCCTCTACCTCCAATGCCAATGGCTGCAGTGGCTCAATAACCTGTTGGGAAGAAGCTGAAGTGGGTATATAAAGTGGTGTTTGTGGTAAACCTGCAGGACTGTTGCAGATCTTTTCACAAACTGGTTAATCAAAATGAATATTTACTTTTTAAACTCCACCTCTATATCCTATTAATTTTCGTATCCCCCCCCCCCCACACACACAAAATGTTTTGACCATGAAGACTGTTGTTTACCTGCCCATAGTCGTGAATCATCAGTATTTCATTTTGAGTTGGTATTCCATTACATTGCTAATTCTTATGTTTTCTCTTATATTTGTCACCTATTATACCTTTAAATTGCTACTAGCAAGCTGGAAAATTGGTAGAGTGGGTTAGGTAGCGTGGGCTGTGGGCTCTGCTTTGTTACTGTATTGGAAGTGTCATGGTTGGCTGGTTGATCAACAACCCTAATTTCCTTATAAGGCATTTGATTTTAAATAGATGCAAATAAGGTCCTTTGTTGTCGTTCATTAGCCATTAGTTTCATATCCCTTGAGCACCCACCCACCTGAGTGAGAGAGGTGAGGTAGGTAGTGCGGGCACATTGAATGTGCTGCACCTGTTCCAGGGAGAGGGGTGGGCGGGGTGCAGGGGGTGGCTTGGGTGTTTCTCGCACACTGCGCCGCCCACGCCCACTTCGATGGGTCTTGGTGGTGCGAGGGGTGGTGTAGGTGCGAGTAGTAGTAGTAGTTGTAGTGCGGGCTGTGCGGATGTCCCTGGTGGTGCGTGGAGTCCTGGAAATCTTAGCTGTCCGGGGTGATCCAGAGAGACTCAGGGGAGGCACATCTGTCTGCAATAAGCGGTACACACTATAGAACTGGTAACAGTGTTAAGCACGCCAAATTCTCCGGGGAAGAATTGTTCCCATTTTACATTTGTTTTACTGAGAAGGAGCGCCCACCTGCACCCCATCACTGGCCTGAATTTGTTATTTTGTGTCTCACTGGATATATCTTTCGCAGACACTGTTTATACCAAAGGTACTAAAGTACAATTGCCTCCACTTGAACATACCACAACCTGGGAGTGTGAGTGAGGGCTCGGGTACGAGATGTGTCAATGCAGCGCCATAGTCAAGGCTTAGTGAATGGGCGTGAAACAGTGAAATTACCCGGTTTGCGAAAAGATACATACAATAAAGGAGGCAAAGAGATAAACGAACATTGCAATAAGTGTTATGCAGAAATATTGTGTAGCCACGACTGAGCGACTAGGACTGAGTTATGGGGAACCGACAAACAGAGTAATCCACGGTTTCACGCCTAGTGTTGCCCCGCCACATCTTGTATTTATTTATTTTTTACGAGGAATACCCCACCAGGCACAGGTCATCGACCAACAACGGGGCCTAGGGGGTGAAAAAATAAGCGTAAAAAGAAATTAAAGATAGAAAAAAACAAGATTATACTGTGTTAATCTACACCACGAAGATGCCGGAAAACCAGCTTTTTAAAGTGAGAGGTTGTATCAGTATGGAAACATTGAAGAAGGCAGAGCATTCTACAGTTTGGCCAAAAGCAAAAAGAACAAAAGGAAGAATTCTAAAGAAAACGACTCAGAAAAAAACAACTTCGGCCGAAATAGCCGAAAGACAAAGTAGCCAGTATTCTCCAAACAAGCCCTGAAGGTCATTCTACTCAACGCTCTCAAACGGACAGGACCTCCTCTCAACAAGCTCCTCACCACACAGAAACTCCCTAGCACTGCACTGTACATACAATACATGTAGAGTTAAGCTATTCTGAGTCTCCTTTCTCACCTCCATCCTTAGTGCGAGATCTCCTACATGTACTGTACGAATGTACTGTATGTGAGCCTAACAAAGAGAAAATAGACAACTGGCCACATACACGACTCTATAATACCACCATCTTCAACTAGGCCACAAAATCAACGAGCATCAAAGGGAAGTACAGTGAGTCTGTTGTTGAAACAATATATGGAAGAAGGAACTTTCCCATTTTCAAGGAATCCAAAGCTCTGCTGGAAAGGAGTGCTCCCAACTTTGCACCCACTGAAGAACCTGGCAAGGGAGCTGATGGGGTGTACTGCAACATCTGCTCCATCCGAGTGAGTTTTCAGTATTGCTGGAAATTATTTCACAGCCAACAGGGCCCAACTTGGTGTCGCTTCTTTCCGGCCATAGTTAATGATAAAGTGTAATGGTGAATTATTTGAAAAATCCCGGCTTTGTAAATATTATGTGTAACTTGAAGTATCATGGACTGAACTGGAATCTTGATAGCCCATGACTGCTTTTTTCACAATAGTTTAAGTGAAACATACTCATCACTTATAACTAGACAGCATGGCGGTGAGCTAGCATGTAGAAACTTGTAATTGTAATTATAATTATTATTGAACTCTAAATTTTCAAAATGTAATTGTAATGTAATTGAACATTTGAAATGTAAATGTAATTGTAATTAAAAATTCAGGCAAGGATTTGTAATTGTAATTGATTTAAAAAGGTGTAATTGTTCCAACCCTGAGTAAGTGGTATATTAGAGTTGGTAGGGTGGAATTTAAGTGGACATAATATATTTTGTAAACGATTTTGCAGGTTGAAACACTTTAAATAAATATTTCAATAAACCCGGAGTTTCTAGTTGGACTTACTTACAGTACCTTTTATCTCTCTACAATCTTTAATCTTTTCCCGCTTCTGTATGGAATAGATCAAAAGGTAAAGAAACCGTAAATAAATGAGGAAATACTGGATGAGAGTAAATAAATAAGTTTAATATGCAACAGGAAAGAACCTGAGTAACAAAAAATATACCCACACATGATCATATCCTTAACTTGCATTCGAGGTTTACAAACTGAATATCTAGCCTCCACACGATATACTTCAGTGTCATTAACTGGCAAAATCATAAGTACTGTAACATGATGAAGTAAGTTTCTTCCTCCGGATTAATATCCATTAAAAGGACTGTACTGCTACCATGTACTTATTCTTCTTAACTTCGTTTTAATGATGATGTGGATCCCAAACAATGTCAACCTTCTAAACTTTGTATCTTATAACTTGGGCAAGTACTGTACTGTATAACTGTACAGTACTGTATAATGGTATGACTGCCATAACCATCTGGAATAAATATATGTTCAGTAGCATAAACCAAATATACCATTCTTTTTTTTCGGGGGGGGGGGGATTAGGTACTTTTATATACAGTACGTACAGTTTGGAAATTTATTCATTTAGATAAAGCATCTTACAACCTTTCATAAATAAACAAGTATATATTCAAAGACAAGATTATCGATGATCTTGGCAGACAAGAAGCATACAAAATAGACCTAGCTTAAGTAAATGTAACAAAGTATAGTATAAAAAAATTCAGTTTCATTCATATTCAATATGACAGTAACTGTATATCAGTAAGTACGTAATTCATTGGTTTGAAGAATCAGTAGTAGTTTTCTGATCTGACTACTACTGAGTGTGGAGTCACTATCCTTACAATCTAGGTCAATTAATACTCACTCCTTCACTGTCCTTTTTAGTGTCCGGTCTCCTCCTGCCTGGAGTGGCAGCTCCTGGGGATGCTTTAGCTCTTCTGCCAGGGGTGACAGTCCCTGGAGAAGTCTTAGCCCTCCTGCTGGTGCTGCCTCCAGGACCACGCCTCAACCCATCACCAGGACTAAGGACATCCTCATTGTCCTCCAGGTCCAGTGAATCGCAGTAGAACTCGTTCACTAATTCGTCCGAGACCTGGAAGAAGTAGCAAATATTACAGTAAAGTGAGGAGCTTAATGATGTGTGACTTGATCCATCCCATTTACAGTATACTCTCGGTACAGGTCGAGTTTTATGATGAAATTTTTATGCATAATAATTTTGAGGGGGTAAAATTCATGCATTTCCGTAGGTCTTTTACAGTAAACGATAACTACCTGTTACAGTTGGTGGGGGAGGTATTGATGGGGGGGAAGAGCTAGGGGTGGCGGTCCTGAGTAAGGTAAGAGAGCGCAAGTCAAGGGCCACATACGTAGTAAGAGTGTATGTGGTCTTAGAATTATCCTTAACACCTGAAGAAGGTGTTAAGGTTGGTGGATGTAGCTTGATGTTGACGGCCTTAATGACCCTGGCAGTTAATAGGGCAGTCTAAAGCACAAACAACCAACCAATCAACCAACCAGGAGGGCTGTATTAATCACAATCATTCATGTTAGTTAACTTAATGTCAGATGATTCATATTACGCTCGATAGTCCACAAAATATGTAGGTATAACGTGTTTCTTGAGTCGGCCCATCGAGACGTATGTTTTCTGTCAATTCCTTTCAGAAGCCTCACAAAATCCCCTGTTGATGTTTGTATATTTAAAATTAGGAATGAATGCGTATGTGTTACCGTAAGATATACAGTATATACCTACTTTTACCTGAAATATTCAAGATCCATTGAGAGTGATGTTGAAAGCTTCAACTATATTTACTTGCAGTGAAATTGTCAAATAAGTCGAGTGTTGAGGTGAGCAATAAAGGATAGAATACTTTTTCCGCCCTGTAAGAGACTATGAGATGCCTATTCACCACTGAAGTTGTATTTCCCTGATTTGTAACCATCAGAGAATCTGATGACTATATTTTAAGTGATTGTCAATTTTGTATTAAAGAAAGTCATTAATCATTTGAGAGAACCTGTCAGCGGCCACCAGTCCCTGAAGTTTACCCACCATGTGTGAATCACCCGTGAGTCAACCCTTGTGTGTAACACAACGCTGACTCTCTAGAAGGGTGCCTACCAACCTGCGTACTTGTAACCAATTAATTGATGCAGTGCAAGCTCAAACACTGATTAGATTATAAGTGTTAGCCTTAATAAATTAATGTAAACCCATAGCACTAATTTTCATGCTATTTATGCACACAGCAGTAGGCAGGTTTTTCTGTAGTCACAGTTTAAGGTAATAATGGCTAATAATTACCTATGCAAGTGTGGAAATTGGCTATAAAATGGTGATGATGATGATACTAATGAACAAATGCTAAGCTAACCTATCCGTAACATAAGCTGTGTCGATGGTGAAGGTGGTGGGTGACATATCAAGACAAATAGGTGACCTGACATTCGAGTGACTTATCTGAACGTGTAGGTAACCAGAAACATGATAATGACTAAATGGGATGGGGTAGTAACTCACCTGGACATTTAAATGGTGAGGCAGGTGAGTAAGGGTGAGGGGTGAGTGACCCCACTCAGCCCGGTGCTGGTTCACCTGTTGTAGAATATTCTCCTGGGCAGCAGCAGCTTCCTCCACACGCACCTTCACCTGACTTCCCTCTAGCTCCACCTACCCATGCCAACATAAATTATTGTACTACACCAAACTGTAATGCAATACAATACAATACAAATATATACTGCACAAAAAGGATGATCATGGGTAAGAGTGACAGGGACAAGATATAATAGGGAAGAAGAGAAAATTGTACTTTATATCTGTACACTAAGTTGAACCAATTGACAGGGTACCACATGGAGTACCAAAGTTGGTACTGAAAAAGCTACGAGTCGAGGAGCACTATTGTTTGAGTAGTTATGGCATTAAATTAGGACTCAAAAACCTCTGTGAGAATAAATGGTGAGGAATTTATGGTAAAAATAGGCCATCAGGGACCTGTCTTGAGCTTCCTTCTGTTTATCACGGTGCTGGGATCAATATCACGGGACTTATGACTGGCCTGTCTGGGAGTTGTTGTATGCTGATGACTTAGTGCTGATAGCAGATATCAATGAAGTGGCAATAGAGCAATTTAAGAAATGGAAGTATTGTATGGGTTAAAGCCAAAGGGGCTGAGAGTGTGTGGCAAAAACAAGAGTGTTGATTAGTGCAGTAGGTGGGGGACCATGGTGGAAAGTGGAAAATGGCCATGTGCTGTGTGGAAGGTGGATGCACAAAAGGTGCAGTGGTGTATATGGCAAACTGCAGGATTTTGCTGACTTTAAGTGTTCTCTATGTGCAAGTAACCATTTGTCCACAGCAAGGCTGGAGATAATCAACATTGGGGATATGTCCCTGGTCTGTGTCAATGATTTCTGTTATCTGGGTGATATGATCAGTGCCGTGTGGATGTGCTGAAGTCTGTTCAACTGAAAGAATCAGAAATGGCTGGAGGAAGTTTAGGGAACTACTACATTCCACGTGAAGAATGTATGCAAGTGATGTGAGAAGAGTGATGTTGGTTGTATGTCAGTGAAATATGGGCAGTTAAAGAGGATGACATACATAGTCTTCAGCGAGCTGAAATGAGAACGGTGAAGTGGATATACTTTTGAACAGCATGCCAAGAGCTACACCCCTACATTTTATTTAGGCCTGCATGGATAGGTCTGCCTTAAAGCCTTTTTTGTCCACCGCTGATTCGATTACCAGCCGTCGTAGAATAAGACGCACCAGTGTATCCCAGTGTTTCTATCACTCCCCAAAAAATTAAACGAGGCTGGGATAATGATATAAATATTATATCTATAGGATCCAATAATGACGCAGAGATATTCTTATCTGTTTCAGGTATGAGACAATCAGCAGTACATATCAAACACCATCAACATTGTGTGGCTGACCTTGCCGAGGAGGTGCCACAGCTGAGCCTCAACTTGCGCCACAGTGACACTGGTTGGGGGTACAGTGATCTCATCGTTAATGTCTTGGTCTCGTTCATCTTCCCCTTGTCCTCCCTCACCTTCCTCGCCCTCTTCTTGCAGGGGAATGGAATGTTCTGTCTTATATGCTGCCAGCTGAAATATTAGGTATCCTTATACTATCTGCCACCTGTAATGTCAAGCACCAATGTACTAGCTGTTATTTGTAGGTCAAACACCAGTGAACTATACTATCTGCCAACTGCAAGTCAAACACCAGTTGCAATGTGACGCATCCCTGTACCAATTCAAGCTATCAGCTGCAGTGGCATGGTTCTAAGTATTACCTGGGCTGATCTAGCAAGCTCCCTGGCACGGTACTCCTTTAGGCGGGTTAGGGCCATGCGCCTCCATTTAAGGTTACGTCCCATGTCCAAGTCTGCCTCAGGGGTGAGGTCAGCACCCCCACCTCGTCCTGCTGACCCCACACGAGTTACCACTTCCCGTACCTGCCAGTAATAAATATTGCGAGTCTTTCTCATCCAAAAACTGCTAAAATTGGATCAAGGAAAAAGCTGTGGGCCACGTAGAGTCCTAGCAGTGCCCAGAGGCACAGCCTTGGCAGGGATAACATGAGAAGCATCCCCTAAAGCTTGGAAAATTCAAATTTCTATATTCAAGTCTGAAAAACATGGCTATTAGTGAAAGAAATGTCTGCCTCTGCTCAAATCTCTTATTTTACTTCATTTCAACACATGAATCCTTTCTCATGTTACTGAGAAACAATGATATTGTAACTGATGAAAGGACAAGAACAACACTTAATGTCCCTTCTCCATGTTCTACAGCATGTGAAAAGTTATAGCTGGGACTCACATGTGCTTGTAGTGCAGCTACACTGTCTCTCTCTTCACCTTCCTCACTGGTGTCCCCCTCAGGACCCTCACAACTGCTGGAGAAACAAATAGAATCAGAATGAAGTGATAAAGATAATAATTAAGATAGGGAAGACAGAGAGAGTGGCACCAGAATAGGAAAGATGGAATAAAATATAAAAGGTAGAGCAGGAGAAACGAAGATATGATAGAGGAGCAGGGGGGGGGGGGGTTATTGGTGGTCAAAACACATTTAATTACTTGTACTGTACTTCTTATTTGGATTAAAAACTTATAATTAAAAACATACAAAAGGAAACATCCAGGGAAATATTCAAAACAAATTCTATGATACATTGAAGAAAGACTACAAGATATAGGTAGATAGATACTGTATATATTTACAGTACTCAATAACATTTTCATACACGTTTTCAATGGTGTAGGTGTACAGAGGCAGAGCAGGAATACAAACAATGGTAAACGGTGAGTCGATCAAAGCAATGGTGAAGATACCCAAAGAAACATTCAACGAAAGCATCCATGGAAGTAATTAAATAAGCACATAATGGAAATATAACTAATTGTACTTACGGAAATATTTGAGAAACCATATAATATTCATGCAGCTATTCAGGGATCATGCCACTGACTTACCTGGTGGACCTATGGGTGGTGTTGGTAGGTCGTGGGGTAAGGCCACTGCCCACCTGGTTCTTGTAATCCTCAGTGGGTCCCTCCCTCTTCACCAAATCCCCCTTCACTGACCCTGACCTAGAAATAATATTTTCAACATCCATAACACTGATCCAATGGAAGAAATTTTCTCACGAGTCAAAAACCTGAACACACTACAGGAGCCTCACTACACTTCTGGCACTCCACCACAGCTAGCACAAGCCAGGCACTCCTTATTTACACAGCTCATTCTCATTCTTACCAGGTTTTATCAAACTGTATTTTAAAACAGATGACAAGTTGTTCTTAGGAGTGTTATTTCTACAGACACATAATGAGACACTCACACACCCAAACACACAGACTTATATTCTCAATAAGACCACCATTATTCTTGTGAAAAAGTCATGGTTTCAAATTGAGGAAAAAATCTTATTGTATTACACAGACTTTTGTGTAATTAAGGCCCTACCGAACTTGGTGTTTGACTTTAAACAATATTGAAAATGGCCCAAATCCATAAACTAAAATGAAACAGACTTACTAGGATGTGCTTTACAAGGCATGGATTAATACTCATCTAAAGGACTTTCTTTTATCTCAAAGAACATTCATCACAGTATTATACAGCATAAGCATAGTGACTAACTGACAGAGAGCTCTTAGTGGTTCAGAGGACCATCATCCAGCTGATAGAGCGCTCCTTGTGGCACTCAGGACTTCTACCAGTGTTACACAGAGCAAGGATCACTTCCCACTTGAAAAAAGAGGCTCCTTTAGTCATACAGGAGGGCCTCAACCAGAAAGGCCTCCATCTGAGTTTTGCAACACAAAGTTCAGCACTCACCTAACAGAGGGCTCCTCACGTGCTGCAGGAGGACCTCGACCAGCACGAATAGAATTCAGCCAGTCGTTCAACAGGTCCCGTACCTGTAAAAGCATTGGAGACTCAACACATACTGTACCTCTAAAAACAATGTATTCAAAGATTTATATTTTTCCCTTCAAAACAGAATACGGCCTTAGCAAATAAACGTTCTACTCTCTGGAGTATGATAAACTGATCATGATGATATTAGAATACCGTCACTTACAGAATATACTGGTAAGATTCATTGCTTGAGTTTCTCCACGATACACTGGAATGTTTAAGAACAAAAATCCTTTTTTCTTTGATATTTATCACTCTGCTGGGTCCCTTTACAACTGGGGTCTATTAAGGCTGGGTCCCAGTCTTTATGATTACGACAGGTTGGAGCCTACTAGAACTGGGGTCCATCTAACTTTTCACCAAGTGGCCTTAGGACTCACCTGAAGTACAGCGTAGGACTGAAGGGTGTCACCTTCATCTGCCACGCCATCACCAGTCTCCCGCCCCTGTCGGATCTGTCAATAACACAATATGCTATAATTAGTTTGTCTAAATAACACAACACGGTTTCATAAATTGTTCTTAATACATTGAAATCGCGTCTATAACACCCGTAACCTCTTTTGCCAGAACTAACACCTGGGTCACACTCACCTGCGCTAAGCGACTCAGGAGGGTGAACACCTCCTCAGATGTATCCACGGCAGTCAGCACCTCTCCCGAGCTGAAAATAAATTGATCTATGACCCTGAATTTCTCTCAGAGATGGCTGACTCACTCCTTTGGACGTTTTCAATCAACTGACAGTATTCAGAACGGGAAAGCACACTGATTGTCACTGGTTCACTTGTTGATTTCATGCAACCCATCACCCTGTATTGTTTATGACTGTAAAGTTTCTGATCCACGCTAGGACATTCCCCTGTATTTTGGTTCCTCCCAATTTAATTTCCAGCCTTGGCGAAATAAAGTTATATGCTGTCTACATTACCATTACCACCTTAGGAACTGGAAAGAACAAACTGAAATCAGATGGTTCCAGGAGAGTCTGGGAGACTGACCTTAAAAACTGGATGGAGGGGACAGACACCAGAGGGTTCCAGGAGTAGAGGGTCCGAAGTTTGCCCAGTAGCACCTCCAGACGTTCCAGCTCTCTACTGCTGCCAACGACAACCTAATAAATCCAATGGATAATTTTAGGAAGTCTGATTTAGTGTGGCATAAATATATTCCCTATACATTTCTAAGCCATAGTTAAATCCTTTTAATAACACTTCCTGTCACTAAGTCTCTGTTACTGGTATCCAATAGTTATGGCTGCATTTAATCAACCCAGCACGTGCCTTATTGACTTGACTAATAATGCTTTCCATGCACGAGGAATTTCTTTTTTTAATGTAGAGCCATATACAATCCGTCATCTATATTTATCCTAAAATCTATTTTTTTTTAACCAAGAGTTCTTAACACATGAGGTTCAAAACTATTAATCTATTATCTCTACTTCTAAGCTGTGGGATCAAGGAATACATAAACACCAAAGAAAGGGAGAAATGATCCCATAGAGTGGTACAAGGCAAGTGTAGAAAGCAGTAACAAAGGGATCATCCAGTACAGCTTCATCGACAATAATTGAGAGCTCATTCATACAGTTGTGTATACTCCATAGTCCAAGGATTTACAGAAACAGTATGGTAACTCTTCAGCATCTGCAATATCACCAGATGAGTCTAAGACAGTCTGAATAATTTCTCTAGTACTTCTAGGATGGTTTATTGTAGGCCCTGGCAGAACCCCAACCCCAGAGTCTACTGTTATGTGATCACTCCTCTTTATATAGAATTTGCCACTAGTCAAATAAGAGGTGAAGCTTGATTGTGAAAGCATAAAGAAACAAACCCCCGCCACTACTGGTCACAACAACAAGCTGGGTAAACACTACAATTACTCTAATATTATATCTGCCAGGATCTTATAAGCCTCAGATTAACTCATATTGAGGCAGAATCATACACTGCATAATTTCTTAATATAATAAAGTTAGGAACGTATCTACAAAGACAAGTAAGAGAACAATTTAAATACAAACAACCGCAGCCTAAATTAACCTAAGCCCTAAACTCAGCCTTACAATACACTTGGACAGTACAGTACATATATCCCGAGTCTAAAACAACTGTACCAGACTTGGACCACACACTCTCCCCAGCCAGGTACTCCCCCCACTCACCGGCTGAACTGGTGGACCTGTGCTGATACTATGGCGCCAATTATCAAACTATCTTACCTAACTAATACACAACATAGACTTATTTACTTAATACATACATACTATAAATCTACTAACATATTAAACAATTATTACATGCAGGAACACAGTAATGCAGAATATAGCCCTGCCTACTGAACAAGAAATTACCTCTGAACACTACAATGTTATCTACACATAACAAAGTGAGGGAGAGTTGTGGTTATGGAGGTGTGTTGGTGGAGGGTAGTAGTGATGGCGGTGTTGAAAGGTGGAGGTGATAGTGGTGGTGCTAGTGGTGGATGGTAATGGTTATGGTGGTGTGTTGGTGGAAGAGGTAGAGGGTAGTGAAAATGGTAGTGTAGTGGTGGTAATAGAGGAGGGTAGTGAAAATGATAGCATGGTGGGCGGGGAGGGGGGTGTTGGTGGTGAAAGAGGGTCACCTGGTTCATATTGTTGGTGGTGTGTTGGTGGAGAGCAGAAGTGATGGTGGGATGCAGTGGCAGCTCCTCCAATAAGGCTCGACCTCCCTCAATTTCGTCAGCTCTGATCACAGGAAGAAGTACAAGTATCACCAACAAGAGGACTGCATTACATCAAAATATCTCTCTCAACCAATTACATTAAGATACTCGCTCCCATAAATCCAAATACATTATGATACAGTACTAAACTTACTTTCTTGGATACATAAAATGGCAGCTAGGCTGAAGTGAATTGTCTTTAATACACAACAGATAGTCTGTTGGGTACCGTAATATAAGAATAGCATCTGGTGTCTTAGTCGTACAGGTATAGTATTAATAAAAGTGTCTTTTGCGGGGTATTTTATACATATGCAGAAATATTTATGGGCAAAGATGAGAGTAGGAGGGCCAGGGGAAGATAGAGACTCGGATGGATGAATGAAATTAAAAAGTGAGCCCCCAGAGAGATACAAAACCTTAGACTTAGAGGATTGGTAAAAACAACCCGAAAACGTTTAGAGTGGAGGACTGTGGTAGCAGGCAGCTACCAAACAGGGAGGTACTACCGCCTGGGAAGATATTGGAAGCATAATGTGTTGACTAATGGTAGACCCTGCTGCCATATGGCATCACGAAAATTGTGACCAAGTCCCAGGTTGATGATCTGACTTTCTGCCTCATTTACACACACTTGCAGGGTCTCAATAGTTTCTCTTACTTTGAGAACACAACATACTATATTGTTTCTCACTTTTAATCTTTTTAAGTTTTGTATTTCTTTGTGGTTTATTATTATTATTATTATTATTATTATTATTATTATTATTATTATTATTATTATTATTATTATTATTACTATTATTACATTTTTGCCCCCCAGGCCCTGAGTGGGTCAGTGACCTGTGCCCGGTGGGCTCATCCTGTTAAAAAAAAAATATCATTATCATCGTCATCGTCATAATCATCATCATCTGAAGTCGTTTTATGTCATCATAGCTTCGGCATCATCATATCATCATCATCGTCATCATCGTCATCATATCATCATTAATAATAATAATTAATCATATTATAATTTTTCAGAAAATTGAAACTAAACTAACTTAACTTAACCTAATCAAAATTAACCTAATGTAACCTGACAACATTATGTGGATTGATTTAAAGTTGACCTAATCTAACCCCAAAACCAATACTTAACCTGACCTAACCTAGCATTACCTCAAAGCCAATTTTTTTAAGTCCCACTTGAGCTTTGATAGTTTTTGCTGTAGAAGGGTTGCCCGATTCTCCATGGCTGTCCTTCGACGCTCTGCTGCCTCCTTCTGCGCTCGTTGCTCTAAGCTGGGAGCCATACTGCTTCCGCCCATGCCTCGCACACCCTGCACACATGAATTAATCGTTCTTAAACATACCTGTAGACAATAAGTGGGCAAATAAAGCCAACTGGCAGGCAGTACAGAAAACTATCAGAGCTAACTTCTTTGGAGTATTTTTTTATCCTATTCGCAACTGATTGGCTCGTTAGCTGTTTGGGCGGTCGGTGACATTTCTGTTACGTAGTGTTGGCAAGTACTTAACGTGTACTGGCTCGAGAATGTATCTGTGCCTGCGCCAGTGTGAACTCTTGGAAAAAACTGCCAGGGAGCATGATGACATCACCAAGTGTGAACTCCTTTAAATCCAAGCTTGACAAAATTAGGAATATGTTCAAGTACTGTACGCTCAGTACATGCCCAGTGCCTGCTAATGGTGTGCAACAGAGAACTGACTGACTGACTGTCTGACTGGCTATTAAGATTGAAAGTAGTTAAGTGGATAAAGGAAAGTACTATTAGTAGAACATCAGAACTAATAATTATGTCTTATAAAGGGTGGAACTTATTTAAAAAAATCTCTGCCTGCACTAACCAGATGACGGAGATGCATTTGCGTCTTCTGAGGCAAAGGAAAGGAGTCTCCTCTTGCCCGATAGAGAAAAAGATCACCACCAGCTACCCAAACTGCTGCCCAAGCCCCATCCTCACTCACACACGCCTCTGCATCCGGTCCAACTACACTACTCTCTGGCCTTGCATCCAGTCCTGCTTGGAAATTATAAGTACAATACTGCACAGTATTTGAATAAAAAAAAAAAAAAAAAAAAAAAAAAAAAAATATATATATATATATATATATATATATATATATATATATATATATATATATATATATATATATATATATATATATATATATATATATATATATATATATATATTAAATTTCATAAAAAACAGATTTCCTCTAAATACCTTGTTAAATAACCCAAAGATCTATTGATATTGATATTGAAAAAGTTTATTTAGCCTGAAAAATACAGAGTGGTTACAGGTAATAACACCAATATTGACGTGTCTGATCCAATTGAGAGCCTGAGGTCTCTTAGTGGCACCTGATATATACTGTACATTTATCTCAAGGAATTATTATATAACATTTAGTGTCATCTGGATTAGCACACGTAACATGGTGTTAATAAATACTCGTACACATGAGAATGTTACCACGATTTTCACTACTTTATTTGTTTAACTAATTAATTTAATTATTTTATTTTATTTTACTTTATTTTTTTGCATTTATATTATAAGTATGTACATATTTTACAGTGGAGTTGATATACAGTAATCTGATAAATGAGGGAAGCAATACAACATGGGTTGTATTAAGATGAAACAAGAGGACAGACAGTCAAGATCAGGTCTTGACGACAAATATATAATTATTGCAAAGGTAATTTCTATCTACGTGACAATATATGATATAATAGATTTGGTGATACAGTAAAAGTAAGAGTATAAAGTAGGAAGTAGGCAGCTATCAAACAGGGAGGTACTACCGCCTGGGAAGATATTGGAAGCATAATGTGTTGTCTAATGGTAGACCCTGCTGCCATATGGCATCACGAAAATTGTGACCAAGTCCCAGGTTGATGATCTGACTTTCTGCCTCATTTACACACAATTACAGGGTCTCAATTGTTTCTCTAACTATTCCCAACACAACATGCTGGATATCGTTTCTCACTCTTGATTTATTGTTTCGTTTATGTATTTATTTATGGTTATTATTATTATTAGTAGTATTCTTCTTTTTTGGTTATAATTTTTATCTATTTTTATTAATTATTATTAAATATTATTATTATTATTATTATATTTTCGTCCCCCCCCCCAGGCCCTGATGTGGGTCAGTGACCTGTGCTCGGGTAGCGTAATCTTTTATCGGAAGGATGGGGGTAAGTAGTTTCACGCGTTCACACCATAATATTTTATGGAGGTCTGGGATTGAGAGGAGCGCATGGTATTAGTAGGTCTGAGTGTCTTAAGTTGTACCTCTGGTTATTCCGGAACTAGAAATAATTATTCTCAAAAATTTCAAGGCTTCACCATTTTCTCTAATATGTCATGGAAGCCACACATCCTCAACATTGCTAAAGCTGCCTCCCGAAAGCTGGGAATGCTGTACAGATGCCGTAGCTACTTCACTCCTGAGCAGTTGCTTCAAGTATGTAAGGGATTCATTCGTCCTAACTTGGAGTACTGCTCTCATATCTGGGGTGGTTCTTCTTGTGTCCAACTGTTAGATAGGGTGGAATTAAAGGCATTTCGTCTTATTAATTCTCCCTCTTTAGTTGATAATCTTTCTTCCCTTTCTCTTCGCCGTAATGTTGCTTCACTCTCTCTCTTTTAAAGGAACTTTAACGGGCAATGTTCGGTGGATTTGGCATCCTGTGTGCCGCCGGCAAGGCCGTGGGCTCGTAACACTCGTCTTGCCCGCTGTGCCCACCGTTTATCTGTGGATGTCGGTCACACTAGAATAACCCGTTATAGTACATCCTTCTTTCCTCACACAGCCAAACTATGGAATGCTCTGCCTTCTTCTGTGTTTCCATAATCTTACAATCTGTCTCACTTCAAAAAGCTGCTTTTTCGGCATCTTCTCGGTGTAGGATAATATATTATTTTTCTTTATTTATTTTTACTCTTATTTTTTCGCCCCCTAGGCCCCGTTGTGGGCCGATGACCTGTGCCCGGGTGGGCTATTCCCCTTAATAAAAAAAAACAGCAATAAGTGTCAATATCCTCGAATATTAACATTTATAATTTAGCAAATTATTCGTTAGTGTTATCAGTTTTTTCAAGTAGACCATTCTTCACACAATTCTCTTCTGGATAGTGACCAGAGGTTGTGTTTTAGTGAAGCCAGTGTGTGACAGTTTATCATGTGATGGTAAACAAGGTCAAAATAGATTGCTTTCATTGCTGCATGAGTGAATGACTGATAAGTATGATACGGGATACCGCACTGTTTATTGATTTTGCTGTGAATGGCTTGTATGTGGTTTCTCCAGTTTAGTTCATCATCGACAACAACCCCAAGGAATTTAGTATTTTGTTCAAGTTTGAGAATAGTAGGTAAGTAGTTTTCTTCTGTGAAAGATTGTGTAGTGGATTTTTTCGAGGTTTAAGGTCAGTTAATTACATATTACCCAGTTCCTGACTAGTTAATTCACTGTTCATAGTTCTCATCAAGGAATGGAGATCTGAGTGACTGGCACAGTGATTATTACCGCCTGCAAATAAGTTGCATTTTACGAGTGTGCTGGAAAGGCCGATATCATTTCTTCTCTGGAACGAGGAGAATGGGGCCTTGAGGGACGCCATACAAAATAGGCGAGGAGTCAGTCTGGTAACTATTATAGCGGACATACTGCTTCCTGTTAGACAGATAAAAGGTAAACCAATTGTGGGATAAGCCGCAATGTTCAAGCTTTGACAGGAGGATGGTATGGTCGACAGTATCAAAGGCTTTAGAGAGGTCCAGGAATATTCCGACTGTGAACTGACTGTCATCAACGGAGTTCGGGATGTTATTAGTAAATGACAGCAGGACAGTCTCAGTTGACCTTTTTCCTCTAAATCCGAACTAAGAGTCTGTAAGGATGGTATTGTCACTGCAGAAGGAATTTAGTCTACTACATGCCAGCTTCTCCAGTATCTTAATTAAGACCTTTATCCCCAGATTTTTTATATGCTGGCCAAACTTTAGCATTTTCAGTTTATCCGGAAAGACACCACTAGTGAAGGAGGAGTTACAAATGTGGAGGAGAACAGGTAGTAATAGGTGGGCTACTTTCTTAATGATGCTCAATGATATATTGTCGTCATCTGCTGCTTTATGTTAAGAAATTTTTACGATGGTCAATAATTCATATGCAGTGACAGGGTATAAGAACAACTCATTGTGCTGTCTGTTTTGCAGGTAGGCTCTAAATTCCTCGTGGTGATCAGGGATGTTCTCTGCAAGATTTCCGCCAAAATTAAAAAAAAAATAATTGAAGTGGTTGGTAATGAGAGAGAGTTCCGTTACAACTGTAGCGTTTATCATAAAAGCTGAATGGGGAGCTGTAGGTTCAGTGTTCCTGTTCTGGATTAAATTGATGATACTCCAGGTTTTCTTATTGTTGCCTAATGCTGACTGTAGCTTATTTGTATAATAGCTACATCTGACATTTCTAACTGCTTGAGTTACTCTATTTTGGATACTTCGGTATTTTAGCTGATTTTTTTTTTTTTGAGTTTGAGTTTTTCTTTTATCATTGCCTTGATTTCACTTGTGATACAGGGCTTAGAGATAGTATCTATAATTTCACTAACTTAATCTTGAGGGGGGGAGCATTTATCAAAGCAAGTACTGAAAATGCAAGAGAAGTAGCAGCAAATCACATTAGGGTTGTCGGAGGTGTAGACAAGATCCCACTTAGCATTCATTGTTTTCGAACAGGAGTATATTACTGGCGCAGTAGCCTCTGGATTTTATTGTGGCTTTACTAGACCTTCCAGATCTTGTGGCTGTTTTATGCATGGAAAATTCTGGGAAGTGATCTGGGATATTGTTTGAAATGTTGTTAGTCCAGATATGATTATATCACAGTGTCAGAGGTGGCAGTTACTCTAGTGGGTTTGGTTATTGTGTTGCAAAAGAGCTTAGAATGACAGGTAAGAGGCTGAAAAAAGAAGTTCATTATACAGTACAAATAAAAGTAATTTTCATTATCTTGAAACCCCTCTGTCATAAGATGGACCATGCAGGACTCCCAATCAGCCCATCAGAATTGGACTCAGGAAAATAAATCCAGAATGCACCTATGTGACAGGCAATTTAGCCGCCAGTACTCAGTTGCCATCAACACCACCACCAATACCACTTTTCAATGCATCTCAGCTAGAATAGTTAGGTACGATATTTCTACTTGTATTCAAGTTTTTAATAGCAAAATAGATATTCATTTATTTTTAATCAATATGACCTTTTCACTTATCACCCCAACAAGTGAAACGGATTTGTCCATTTTTTAGTGTACTGTATATTGAATCTATGTGATGAAATGGATACAAAAGTAATTAAAAATCATGTAACCTTACCTAACCTAGTTTATCAAAACTTAAATATAACCCAACCAAACATAACCTTAGCATAAATTAGTTTTACCATTTCTTATGAATAAACACACATTTACAATTTCAGAAGTGTAAAGGACTTCAAAATAGCACTTACTCATAACTCTGATAAACAAAAGACTTTACTAACCGCTGCATTTAGTAATGTCCTGTACTTTAGTAGTGCCATGCATAGTCTGCTCTGAAGTACGACTACCCCCTAGTCTTTTGCTGCAGACCCTCACACTGTAAGCTTCTTGTGACTGGTGAATGTGCACCACACAGCCAACTGATGTTACTCCAACCATTGTCTCTCCATCTGGGCTGTGATAAGAAGACGCTGAAGAATAAATCGTTTCAGAAATGCAAGCAAACATATTTTGATTTTGCCGTGGTCTTCTTTCTGAGGAATTTGTAATCCATTGCGATAAATTTTGTCATGTTTCAATATTTCCAGACAATAAAACCTTCATTCAACTGCTGCAACACACCAGACATTGGTGTTTTGCAGAAAGCGTGTGCCACAGCAAGCGTGTAACCAGCTAGAGACTGAATGAACGACCTGGGTGTGTATGTTAACAACGAACTGAAATTCTTGGGCCATTGTGAGAGGAAGGTGAATCAAGCAACTAAGCTAGTAGGTCTTAATAAGAAAGTCGTTCAGATATCTAGACCGTCCCTCGTAACGTTCTTCAAGAGTGAGGTGCTTCGCCGTCGGGAGTACTGTAATCCTGTCCCTGAGATATGCTAGCTACGATAATTGCATGCCAAAATTACTAATGTCATCAATGGCTGTCTTAGTCTGCCTAGCAAAATAATAAAACTTTCAATGAATGTCTTATTTTGCCTGGCAGGAAAAGTATCCCGATTAACGGTATGTACACATGACTGTAAATGGTTATCTATACTAATTATTAATTACTATTAAGTAGTATATAATCATATAAGCCTAGTTATTTCGTCGGGTAAGTGACTAGGAGATGTATAAAACCTCGGCAGGAAGAGGAAATTTGTATCTGCTAAACTACACTTTGAATGAATATCAAATGAAATGACAAATTCACTACGTAATCTAATAATAATTTTACTGAATAAAACATTATAATTCATAGTTTAGAAGATAATTAAAATTAAGAGTTTCCCGCGATTTCACGGTGGAAACGCAGCTCAGACAGCTAGAGATTGCGTTGCAACACTTCAGTTACCCATAGATATTAGAACGCTTGCAACCGAAGCTTATACTAAAGGAGGGAAAGGGGTGAGTTAATTGAACGTTATAAACATCTCAGAGGGCACTACTTAAAGTTCATTTTTTATTGACTTCCAAATCGAGCTATATCTGGAACTGGCAGACGCCCGCCCCACTAGGGGCACTAGATAATGAAGGTCATAGCAGAGAACAGACCAAACGCCCGAACAGCTAGTAAGCTAAAATTGGTGGAATGAAAAATAAATGTACTCGACACGTTAATAGCACCCTGGGCTACAGGATCAACAATAAAAATCCTTGAACTCACGTGGGAACGGCAAGAACGAGAGTACTGTGGTCATTATCGTAACAGCAAGCATTGGCCACCTCCTCCAGAAGCTGCTGATGAACTACCTTCACCCCATCCCACGACTCCTTGGGTCCTGAATATCGCTGTAGAAGCCATGAGTCCGGCGCCGCCCTGGCCGAGGTGATGGATGTGGGCGTGATTGTTGGCGTTGTTGTGGCCGTGCTGGCAGTCGTGATTGCCGGGATCTCCAGGACCAGACCTCCAGACATTTCGACAAGGATAATTTCCTGTAAACACCAAAGAGGTTTACATAATGAGGAAGTACCGGTTTGTGTGACGTTGAAGATTAGGTTCGCTTCGGATAGTTTAGGTTATATTTAGATTTATTAGGTTATCCTAGGTCAGGTTAGGGTAAATTAAGGTTAAATTGGAGGAATTCATTTGAACCTGAAGGATACAGTGAGGCAGTGTGTGGGTGGAGGTAACTGGTCAAATGGGCCTCAAGATTTATAGGGACTAACTGATTTTGCTCTTGTGCGCTCCATTTATGATATTTGGGACCTATTTGCAGTGGGATCCATATGATATGTACTGTAGCTGTAAGGACTAAAATTAAAGATGAATGACTATGGTCGGGAATTTAGGAAGAGCGATTTACGCTTGCACATTGGTAGCAGGACTGCAGATCTTGTTGTAATACCTAAAAGTAAAACTGCAAGACCCTACTCCATCACAGCTTATAAATACCACAGCTACATTATCAAAATCCGGAACAAACTACTTAAGATTGCTGTTTAGTTAATAATAATAGGGGTAGTCTATGCACTGATTCAATGGGATTATTGATTTAAGATTCCTACTTATCATTACTCCTAAATCTTTCTCACAATCGGATTTCTCTATAACAACGTTGTTCATCTGGTATCTGGTTTCTTTGTTTACATCTCCTAGACTAATTACTTTACATTTGTCCACATTAAATTTCATCTGCCATTTTTCAGACCACTCGAAATTTTATTTAGATCTTCCTGTAGTTTTGCGGAGTCCTCGTCAGATTTAATTAAACGCCCTATTTTAGTGCCATCAGCAAATTCACTTATGTTGCTGCCCACGCCTATATCTATGACGTTTATGTATATAATAAATAATAATAGTCCTAGTACTGAGCCTTGGGGGTACTCCACTAGTGACGTTACCCCAATCGGATTTAGTGCCGTTAATGCTTACTCGGTGTTGCCTGTCCTGTAACCACGCCCTCATCTATTTTAGAATATCCCCCTCCAATGCCATGAGCCTCCTCCACTTTTCGCATTAGTCTTTCGTGGGGGACTCTGTCAAAGGCTTTGCCAAAGTCAAGATATACCACATCATAATCGTGCCCGAAAAGAATGTTAATAGATTAGTCAGACATTAACGCTCACTTGTGAAGCCATGTTGGGAATCATTGATCAACTTGTGCTTCTTCAGGTGATTTCGAATAGAGTTTGAAATGATTGCTTCCAGCAATTTGCCTACAATTGATGTTAAACTGGTTGGACAGTAATTAGAGGATAGTGATCTATCTCCCTTCTTGAAAATCGGTATCACATTCGCTATCCTCCAGGATTATGGTACTACACCCGTTTTTAATGAAATGTTAAACAATTTTGCTAAGGACATACTAAGCTCTTCCTTGCATTCCTTTAATACTCTGGCAAATATCTCATCAGGACCTGGTGACTTTTTAGGCTTTAGCTTGTCTATTTGCTTACAAACATCGTAGCTGGGTAGCCGAGGTTATTACTATTATTACTACTTCTATTATTATTATTATTATTATTATTATTATTATTATTATTATTATTATTATTATTATTATTATTATTATTATTATTATTATTATTATTATTATCATTATTATTAACTACGCACAAAAGACTGTAAATTCAACATAAGACACAGGGTCAAGTACAGTACAACTAAACTCACCACTGATAGGAAAAAAACCATACATTTACTCACCCCTTGGACTTCAATCCTTGTTGGCACAGATTCTAATTGGTAGTATCCAACAGGATCTAGTTTTGTCAGTTTTGCAACTCTTATCAACCGAAAAATGAAGATTCGACGGTCTTCGCCGACAGTCACGAGGAATGAAGTTGCTCCTCCATTTGGCTTGGTTTTCTTCGACGTATTGATATGTAAGATGGGTGTCTCGTGTGGGCGCTCAACTTGGACGAGAGTGAGTTGTTCCTTCCCGGTCTTGGGTACCACATGGAGCACGAACATGTTTAATGAACCATCTTCTTGCCCAACTACCACTATGTCCTCTTCACCTGTTACCTGACAAAAAAATAAGGGATGGGTGATAAAGAATTCTATTCGATACTTTAATGATATAACGAACACATAAAACATTTTCTGACATATGAGCTTTCGCCTAAATCGTACACTGACATGAACTGTATATCACACTCTGTAATTCCCATTCTGAGCTGCAATTTATAGAACTATACTGAATTTTGAGTACAGTATGCTGAAAAAATTGGGGTATTCATTTAATGCAAAACAATTTACTCCACATTACTTTGAAAATACTTGTAGCATCTACTGTATTATTCATATTGTACAGTAGAAGACAATATTAATATTACGATGTGCAAATTAAAAGATGAACAAGAAAATTTACCCAATAGTGGATATCAACCAAATCCAGGCCTTTTAGACATATATACTCGAGAACACCCCCTTAGAGTTAAGACGTGGACTGTACGGTACCTGACAAGTGGCCCACAAGACACAACGTGGTAACCCTTCCACCTTCGCCTTGGCCAGACATGTTGGCACCCTCACACTTCTGACATGCCTTGTTCCTACATCCTCTTTCTCCTCCTCCGTACCTTCTTCTGCGTCTGGCTGTTGTGTGGGACGGAAGTAGAGAAAGAGTGAAGTGAAATTTGGCTCCTACATTGTTATATTTCTTAAGTATAGCACTGAACTTTATATTACTTAGACGTTTCAATATCCTACAGAATGTTAAGTCAATACACTTACAGCCAATAGTTATGATAAAGACATTCTTGCCTGTGGTGGCAGGTCAAGTTAAAGATCGAAAACATGATCATATAATGTACAAGGTTTAAGTCATTACCATTTAACCAAGGTGTCCAAAACACGTGTGCTAATTTACATTTAATTCATCCTTCTGTTGCTGTTGTTGGTGGTGATGGTGGTGTTGTCATGATCGTGATGACGGCTAACCTGAAAACCTTAAAGATTCATATTACGCTCAAACGTCCACAAAACCTTCTGAGTCCCCCAGTGGAAACGCCCCCCGTTTTCTCTGTTTCCTTGAGGACGTCATCGATAGGCCGTCTTTGTCTAAAGGGAACTTTGAATATAATCGGCGGATTTCGTAGCAAGACTCTGTATGTTGGGACCTGTTGCCATCCAACCCTTTGTAATCAATTTAATTTTGTTTTTGATAGCTCAGGCAGAGCATTGTTAGTGAAGATAATAGTAGGGAAGGAAACTGAGTTCATAGTCTCAGTTTCAACGTCAGAGTGTACAGTAAATTAATTCATTGAAATAGAAGTAGGTGGACTCCCTGACCTATTTTGAGTGAGGGTGCCGCGGGCATTTCAACCGTTAGTAAGTGCCCGCCCCTTCACCCATACAGGTCCCTAACGCAGCCTAGGCCGTGTCTGTAGCGTGGATGTTGTATCCACTATGTCTGGGGAGATGTCCGAGGTCCAGTAGGATCAGTTACCTTCGTGAGACCCGACCATCAGACACTTCAGACTACCTATGGGCCCCTTAGCTGGCCAGTCTGACCCTAACGCTAGGCCCGCGAGGTGACCCCCGGATCACCAAGCCACACACAACTACCAGCCCCCATCATTGGTGGATGAGTGTCTAACTCAGTAGGGCTATTTGTGTGGTGGTGTTATTCCACTGGGATCTTCAGATTTCGTTGGAAAGTACCCCATGGTGGCAGGACCCCATGGCGGGTGCTTGAGTATCACTCCTGACGACTGAGTGTTGTAGTGGCAGTTGCCCCTGGTCTTAATGGTGCTAAGATACTGTAAGAGTTTGTGTTATTGAGTATGTCCACCCAGTAGTGGTGTGAGTGTTATTGAGTATGTCCACCCAGTAGTGGTGTGAGTGTTATTGAGTATGTCCACCCAGTAGTGGTGTGAGTGTTATTGAGTATGTCCACCCAGTAGTGGTGTGAGTGTTATTGAGTATGTCCACCCAGTAGTGGTGTGAGTGTTATTGAGTATGTCCACCCAGTAGTGGTGTGAGTGTTATTGAGTATGTCCACCCAGTAGTGGTGTGAGTGTTATTGAGTATGTCCACCCAGTAGTGGTGTGAGTGTTATTGAGTATGTCCACCCAGTAGTGGTGTGAGTGTTATTGAGTATGTCCACCCAGTAGTGGTGTGAGTGTTATTGAGTATGTCCACCCAGTAGTGGTGTGAGTGTTATTGAGTATGTCCACCCAGTAGTGGTGTGAGTGTTATTGAGTATGTCCACCCAGTAGTGGTGTGAGTGTTATTGAGTATGTCCACCCAGTAGTGGTGTGAGTGTTATTGAGTATGTCCACCCAGTAGTGGTGTGAGTGTTATTGAGTATGTCCACCCAGTAGTGGTGTGAGTGTTATTGAGTATGTCCACCCAGTAGTGGTGAGAGTATGTTGAGCCTGAGGGCATAGTACCAGATTTCGTCTGTTGGTACATATATTCTTTCTCCTACCTCCATATTAATGTTTAAATAAATATTGTATTTGTATATTGTGTCTATTATTTACCTACAGTATCTACCGTTATTTCTTCCCTATTACATAAGAACATAAGAATGGAGGAAACTGCAGCGGGCCTATTGGCCCATACTGGGCAGTCCCGTTTACACCCAACCCCTATTGCTCATATAAGCATCCAACCTATGTTTGAAGCTATTCAGCGTATTCGAGTTAATGATGATATTTGGTAACTTGTTCCATTCATCCACTACTCTGTTTTCAAACCAGTGTTTACCTATTTCACGCCTAAATCTAAATTTGTCTAATTTAAAACCATTGTTACGAGTTCGCTCCTGGTTGGATAGTTTAAGTACCTTTGTAATGTCCCCTTTGTTTAGCCCTGCCTTCCACTTATACACCTCTATCAGGTCGCCCCTCGCTCTATGTCTCTCGAGGGAGTGCAAATTAAGATGCTTTAACCTGTCTCTATACTCAAGGTTCCTAATGCCCGGGATTAGTCTTGTCATTCTCCTCTGAATTCTTTCCAAGGATTCTATATCCATTCTGTAATACGGTGACCAGAACTGAACTGCGTAATCCAGGTGTGGTCTCACAAGAGCAAGATACAGTTTTAGGATGACCTCGCTAGTCTTTTAACTAACACTCCTTTGTATGAACCCAAGTACTTTATTAGCCTTGTTACGAGCAAAAGCACATTGTTCACTTGGCTTAAGGTTCCTGTGGTGGGATGTAATCCTAGACAAGGTTCTTCAAACTCCAGAGTACGAGCAGTAAATATATTCCACAAGTAGAAGACTTGGCAGGATAACCAACAGGTACAAAAACAGGAGCAAGCAAAAAAGAACTCCTTGTCGTAGCCAGGCCTGAGCCGATCTGAGAGAATTTAGCTAACTCGGCAGGGAGAGTTGCTAGACATTACTAGGACAATAAATGAGATCTTCTAGTTACTTGACAAGTGCGGTACAGACATGGTACATCGGGGCATAGTAAGTAGACATAGGCATTAGACATAAGCATAGATATCAGACATGCTATAATAATATATAGTAATACAGACATGTGAATAAATGGTACAATGAATGGTAACAGAGTCTTGCCGTCAGGAGCGTTCACATATCTTGGTATTTACATATCTATACAGTTCCTACTTATCATTACTCCTAAATCTCTCTCGCAGTCGGATTTCTCTATGGCACCGTTGTTCATCTGGTATCTGGTTTCCCTGTTTACATCTCCTATACTGAGTACTTTACATTTGTCCACGTTGAATTTCATCTGCCATTTTTCAGACCATTCGAAAAATTTGTTTAGATCTTCCTGTAGTTTTGTGGAGTCCTCGTCAGATTTAATAACACGTCCTATTTTAGTGTCATCAGCAAATTTGCTTATGTTGCTGTCTATGCCGATATCTATGTCGTCTATGTATATAATAAATAATAATGGTCCAAGTACTGAGCCTTGGGGAACACCACTTGTGAAGTTGCTCCAATGGGACTTAGCGCCATTAATGCTCACTCGCTGTTTCCTGTCCTGTAACCACACCCTAATCCATTTAAGGATATTACTTTTGATGCCATGTGCTTCTACCTTTCTAATTAGTCTTTCGTGGGGGACTCTGTCGAAGGCTTTGCTAAAGTCGAGATATACCACATCATAATTGTGCCCCTCGTCCACCGATTCGAAAACTGATGAAAAGATCATTTCATATACCCATTACATATACCCACGAGCCTCCTCTCGTCACGCTACCAATGGTTGTAAGTATTAGAGTAAAGAAAAATGTTATAAGAGGCACGGACCTTATAGTGTTGGTGGTGATGGTGGTGTTGAAGAGAATATCTCCTTACTAGTACAGTAGTAAAGGAAAAGAAGTATAGGTTAGGTGAGGTCAAATCATACCAAATACCTGGACTAACCTGAAGAAGCGCTGTGACCTGCAGGTAACGGTGGTGGGTGGTGGTTGCCAAGTAACCGCGCGTGGACGCCATGGCTACGCCCGTCACACGCCCACTCGGCCCTTGGTGTAGTGTACGAACTGTCCACTGTCCCGCCCACACGCCGTACACCACGCCCGTGTTGGTCTGTCACCACCAAGTGCGGGGTTACAACAATAGAGATAGACTTGACCAACACTGGACTGTGTTCTGGTTCATTTTAAACCCCTACTTGCCCCGTAGTTGCCAACTTTTTGGGGGGTTAAATAATAATTTTGATCTGTATTGATATTATATAGTGTCCAGTGTCCACCCTGATACTTCAGGTGAAATAAGCTTAGGTGTCTAATCATCGGGTGATCCTTAGTTTCAGTGGGTGGAAGTCCAGGCTTACCTGAAATATTAGTTCCCAGAATTCTAAGTATTTTTGAAATATTTTGTGATATCAATTCGGTTAGAGTGAGTGAAGGATGAATGAAACTGGAAAGGATCGTTTATATATATACACACGTGTCACTTTACCTGAATCACCCACACCAGCGATGGCGTGGTTGTAGGCGGAGTGTTCGGGGTAGTAGTGGTCGTACTAGTGGACATGGTGGTGGTGATGGGCGTGGTTGTGGGAGTAATAGTAACAGGATAGCCAGGGCCACTGTGTACAGGTAGCTTCCGCACCAGCTGTAGGCAGATGGTCTTGATCCCTGGCTCACACCAACCCAGTGTTTCCTCCATACCACCTGCAAGATACACACTACACCACCTGCAACATACGCAATACATCACCTGCAACATACACACTACACCACCTGCAGCATACACACTACACCACCTGCAGCATACACACTACACCACCTGCAACATACACACTACACCACCTGCAGCATACACACTACACCACCTGCAGCATACACACTACACTACGCCACCACCTACAGATACACGCACCACCGCGCCACACTACACCACCTGCCCAGCATACACACTACACCTGCAACATGCACTGCACACCTGCAACACTGCACTTTTCACCACCTACAAGATCACCACCACCTGCAGCATACACTACACACACACACGCGCTACTGCACAGCGCCACCTTCTGCCTGCAGCATACACTCCCACCTGCAGCATGCCTACACCACCTGCGGCCACTCGCCACCTGCAGCATACACACTACACACCTGCAGCCACACACTACACATTTTTCTCACACTGTATACACTACACCACCTGCAACATACACACTACACCACACCCAACATACACACCCACCTGCAGCATACACTACACCACCTGCAGCCACCACTGCAACACACACACCACACCCCCTTTTGACCACACACCACCTACACTACACCTGCAACCTTTACCTACACCACCCTACCCAACATACACACTACACCACCTGCAGCATGCCACACTACACCACCTGCAACATACACACTACACCACACCTGCAGCTTATACACACTACACCTGCAACGCCACACTACACCACCTGCAGCATACCACCACCTGCAGCATACACACTACACCACCACAGCATACACACCACCACCTGCAACATACACACCACCTGCAACAGCCACTACCACCACCCTACAGCATGCCTTTTCACCTGCAACATACACACTACACCACCTGTAGCTTTATACACTACACCACCTGCAACATACACACTACACCACCTGCAGCATACACACTACACCACCTGCAGCATACACACTACACCACCTGCAGCATACACACTACACCGGCAGGAAGATAAACACTATACCTAGAAGACACTCACTACATAACCCCCCACCCCCCCTTCTTTCTCGGGTTCAAAAACTGTATAATTTTTTTTTTCGGGAATGAGCGCCCATTTATGTGTGTGTGTGTGTGAGTGTGTGTCAGTCAAAGCTATCTTAATTATTACGATAGAGTCAATGAAATTAGGGTCCATTGACTGAGAGGCACGTGATGATTCGGACTTCTTTATCATTATTAGGTAGGTCAGGTTAGACTCCAGTAGGATTGGGACCCATTTGACTAATCACACACACACACACACACACACACACACACACATATATATATATATATATATATATATATATATATATATATATATATATATATATATATGACGGTGAAGAGGCTGTGTACTGGCAGGGGTGGACTTATGCATGTTTCTTCCCTATTCGCCATAAGGGTTAGCCAGTGACGGTAACTGAAGCGAGCAGTGCCCTCATCTTAACACTAACACAATGCTGCCACACTAGATGCATTACACCACCCTGTGCCCACACACACACACACACACACACACACACACACAGTAGTGACTCACCTGTCACTCTGAGTACAGCTTCGTCTAACGTCTCTGCTTCCCAGATTCGTAGCCAACCATCACCACCTGTAACACCACCTGTTGCTAGTTCTTTTTTCTCGCTCTTCCTTTAAAATTTAATTATAATATTTCATTTCTATTTTCTAAAACCACATCTTCATTCTAAAACCTAATGTTTTATTCGAAAGCTACAGTAGAGCAAGTGGAGATAGCCACCTCATCTTGCTTCACTTGATTATTAAACATCCTAATACTACCTGGGGTGGTGTGGTTAGGTTAGGCTCAGTTAGGTGAAATAAGCTGAGGTTCCTAATCTTCACGTAATCCCGAAAGATTGAGTATTTTAGAAAATATTGTATAATTATTATCCACAGATTGGTGTGACCTGAGCTGACCTAGGGTGAGGAGATGAGAGTCATGGAGATAGAGGTCAGTAAGAGGGCCCTCATGACATGGCCTTACTCGACCACTGGAGTCCCCGCCCACTCGTGCCACCACCTCCCCGCCCACACTCACCATCACCCATCCGCTGTCCACACCCAGTGCTACCTGAAACAAAGATACTGCATCATCATCAACGTTTTGCAGCTATTTTCCACGCTTGTCTGGGTTAGCCAAAAGTACAATTATTACTGTACCTATTAAGTCATCGGTAACACTGAACAAGTCACAAAATAAGAAGTAATATCGTGGGAGCAGTCTCTCACTCTGCTGATGCACAGTTGTGTTGGAAATTAGCTGATTAATTATTTGTACAAGCGTGTTTATTTACTTCTGTTCTGTCCATGTATCTGGAAACCCATTTTTATTGTACACCAGTAAGCATTCATTTCAGTAACTACTGAACAGTAAAAGCTGCTGCCACCACCCAGATTTTTTGTCAGAATATAATATAACATCAACAGTATAACCTTTGAGTTAACCTTGGTGGCTGGCAGAGAGCTGAAGACACATGAATCCTAAATGCCATTTGATAATCAAGTTATGTTAGAAGGAATGAGGGGTGATGCACAGATTATACTTATTTACTATCTGTTAAATGAATGTGTTATTACCTTGAATATCTTGAATCATCAACTATAAATTAATACTTGTGGTGAACACGTGTGTAGTGACCACAGCAAAGTGTTTGTGCAGTGCTCTCAATGCCAAAATACTGATTTGGGTGAAGACTCAGAGTAATAAATATTCTTTTCTTTATTGTTTCTGATGATTTGGTGAAAACAAACATCCCTTCATCTATAATCATGTAATCCTTTTGGCAATAAATGAATATCAACTATGAGTATGGGAAATTTTTGTAGTAACCCTTTATTGACATTACTAATCGTTCGCTAGATACCTGAAGAACATAATTATACACACATATGTACAATTATTTATCAAAAAAAAACTATATTCCATTTGGGGTGCCCGGGAACCCATGGTACTAATGATTTCGAAACCAGACGCAGCAGTAACCCCACCCCCCCCCCCTCCCAAAATTTTGCCCTGACAATTTTCTGAACTTCGGTGGGGCAGACACCGCTAGTTCCAGATATGTAAACCTCTAAAATTTTTCCCGAGGAAGTCAATTGGGAAAGATGCGTACAGGAAAGTATTGCTCGAAAATTATCCTCAATAAGTGTGAAAAGGCGTCCATGGGGAGCCGACCAATGGAGAAGAAGATAAAGTAAAGTAAAGAATAATACAGACAGTCCCCCACACTAATCACTTACCGCATCAAGAGCGAGGCACCACATGGTGTGGACAGTTTCAGGTGACAGAAGACCAAAACCGAAGGTGTGACACACGAACCTTCGTCCCAGTGGACCAGACTCAACCCGCCATATTTGTACCTCCTCCTCCACTGTAGGGAGAGAGACTTTGAGAGAGGGATAGTCACATGGTGTGAGAAAAATGGAAAAAAAAAGCTATAAAATTGAGTGATGTCAGAAGAAGAGTTTTAGAGACAATGAGATACACAGTCACTGTGTGAAAGGGAGAAACTTATACAGGAAAGGCAAGTGAGAGAGGGGGAGAGAAAGTTCTCTGTGGGAAGACGGGTGAGAGAAAAACATTCCTTAGGTATACCTTTAATTGTACCTATACTGTACCTGCGCTTGTACCTGTATCTGCACTTACACCTGCAGCTTTTTAACTGAATCTGTTCTTGTACTTGTACCTGTACCTGTACTCTTACCTTAATTTGGACCTATACATGTATACCTGTACTTGTACCTGTACCAGCTCTCAAAATTGTACCTTTATTTGACAGCAGGGCGACCACTTGTACTTGTGCCTACATTTAAACCTGAATTTGTATCTGTACTTGTACCTGTACCTGTACTTGTACCTACCTGCCAACATGACGACCACCATGCCACTGGGCAAACCTCGGGCCATCGACATACGTGTGACTTGCGTAGCCTTCAACTGACGCAGTGTCGTCATCACCACCTGCTGGAGCCGAGGGTGCACTGATACCCGTGCTGACGTTAATGGTGGCGACTCTGGCGATACTAAGGGCGACGTGGACGACCACCTCCATAACGACAACACCAATTCTTCTCTCTTTTCCTCAGCTATATCTTCGCCTTCAAAAGCGTCCGCGATTTCAGGTGTTAGCCTGGCGTTGTTGGTCGTCCTCGAGTTCTGGCGAGTTGACAAGATGGCTAGATAGTCCCCGTCAGCGCTGTAATAAGTAAACGAGAGTGGTAGAGTGAGTCACTGGTAGATGAGTCTGACATGAACTCGAAAATTGATAGACTGAGTAGATGATTCAGGTAGAAGAAGTACACGATTAGTAGAGTAGTAAGTTTTTTATTACAATAAGTAAATAAGTTTGGTAGACTAAATGATAAGTTTGGTATATTGGGTAGCACAAGTAGCTAAATTTGGTAGAATAAGTAGATAAATTATAATATAATAGGTTGGTAAACCTGGTAGAACATTTTAGACTTAAGTAGATAAATCAGGTAGAATAAGACTAAGTAGGCTAAATAAGCGAAGTAGACTAATAAGTAGAATGATAAGAGGCTGGTAGACTATGGTAGCAATAGAAGAAGTAGTAGTAATAGTATTAAGTAGATGAATCCTACTGACCTATATTCCAGTTGGTAGATGACATGACCTTCCAGAATGACATCACCATCTGGGCAGGATTCCAATGGTCACCCCCACCACATAACGACGCCCGTGCCACCCGCGAGCTGCCCACCCACCACCAAATGGCTCCCGCACGGGCTTGTCTGTCCAGGAGAGATACTTAAGTTCAATCGGGAAGAGATAGTTTAAGTTCTGTCGGGAAGAGATTGTTTAAGTTATGTCGGGAAGAGATTGTTTAAGTTTTGTCGGGAAGAGATTGTTTAAGTTATGTCGGGAAGAGATTGTTTAAGTTCTGTCGGGAAGAGATTGTTTAAGTTCTGTCGGGAAGAGATAGTTTAAGTTATGTCAGGAAGAGATTGTTTAAGTTCTGTCGGGAAGAGATTGTTTAATTTCTGTCGGGAAGAGATTGTTTAAGTTGTGTCGGGAAGAGATTGTTTAAGTTATGTCGGGAAGAGATTGTTTAAGTTCTGTCGGGAAGAGATTGTTTAAGTTATGTCGGGAAGAGATTGTTTAAGTTCTGTCGGGAAGAGATTGTTTAGGATTCTGTCGGAAGAGATTGTTTAAGTTCTGTCAGGGAAGAGATAATCTGTAATTTGTTTCTGTCGGGAATATTTTAAAAAATAAGCATATGTATCTATGGAGAGAAACTGAGGTTCAAGATAGCAAGATGACGAGATACAGAAGGAAGAGACAGAGACGTAGAGAATGTTTAGGATGGAGAGAGGGAGAGATGATTAGATAATGAGGAGTGATACTCGCCTCCACCACATCTATGACAGTGAGGGGAGGCAGACTGGTGTACACAGATCCATCACCGTCACCAGGACCTTGGTGATCATCATCATTTTCTTCTGCCTCGCCGTCAGGATGGGCGTGTGGGTGTGTGACGGGCGTGGTGACCAATCCTCCACTGGCTGCCCAGACCACACAGCCTCCGCCCGCAGCTGCTCTCACCCCGTCCACTTTCCACGGACCGACCAATACTCCGCTATAACTAAAGTTAAGGAGCCCAACATCATAATAATAATAATAATAATAATAATAATAATAATAATAATAAGTTCTGTCGGGAAGATAAGTTTAAGTTATCTATTGTCTCTATGATTAATGTGATTAATAACGGTAATCTGGCAATGGGGAGCGAGAACAAACCTCCACTAGGGTGCATATAGTAAGATGGGAGATGTAGTACAAATTGTTTAGTTTCTAGTAGTGGCTAAAGGATACACTGTCTCCATTACGCTATACTGCCAGACGCTCTCCCTCGTTCATATGACACCGTTGCCTATCAGCTTGTAACCATGGGAACGCTGTAAACAATAACAATCCCCCCACAATGCTTCACCTTCCAGACAACTGACGCACTGAGAGCCAATTGATTATCACATGAAACTTCAAGAGTGATTTACTTTACAAGGTCTTACTGTAGACATTTTCGGGAATTATTTTCTGTAAAACAAAGAATATAATGCCTTGACTTCCACGCTTTTATCCCGCCTGTCAATCTGTTGGTTGCAGTATAGGTCTGATTTTATTTAATTTTATTTGGTAGATAATTCATATTTGTATAAGGACCCACTTAGGATAATGCATAGATGATCACGAATACAGTAAACCGCCATTTACTGGACATCAACCTAACGTAATAAGGAGGTTTCACAGGTAACGGATCTCGATATAATGGACAGTACTCTCCCACTTAGTCCGTTATATAGTTTCATATCTAATGGACTTCGATATACCAGACTATAATTTCCCATATAGTGCGTTAAATAGAGGTCTCACTGTACTTAGTTCCAGTGCAGTCTCGTGAAAAAAAATCAAATTGACTGCAGGCCACAAGATTAAATTAGAAGTTAGCTATAAAACCATTTCCATTTTCAGCTCCTATAGTTTACTCCCTAAAATGATTGGATCACTTGATGATTAGCCACCCCAACTTTTTTTTTTTGTGGGGAATATCCCACCCGGGCACAGGTCATCGACCTACAACGGGACTTGGAGGGCGAAAATAATAAAATAAGAGTTAAAATTGGAGAAAGAAAACCTAACTTTTTAAAGTGAGACAGATTACAAGTGGATGGAAATACAAAAGGCAAAACATTCCACAGTTTGAATGTCTGAGGAAAGAAGGATATACTATAACGGGTTATTTTCTAGTGTGGCCAACGTCCACACAGAAATGGTGGGCATCGCGGACAAGACGAGTGTTACGAGCCTGTGGGGTTTTTGATTGTTAGGTTCACACTCAGGATGGAATGGAGAAAGGAAACTCACAATGTGCTCTCTATATACATGTTGTATTGGATGTACAATGCAGCTTGGTGCTGGGAAGGCAGCATGGTTACAAGCGTGATGTAGAGAGAGCTGGTTGGTGAGGACGCTCAGAGAAGGACAGCTTGTGGGTCGCCATGCTCGCCAGCGGGAGAGAGGACCGCCAGGCAGGCGGAGGAGCGAGGGCCGCCAGGCAGCGGCGAGGAGGTGTTGCTGGCTGGTTGGTGTAGGTAGAGAAAGAGAGATCACCACGAGGTCAGGTCTTAAATAGCGGGGGTAGGCGTGGCTTAGTAGTTGACCCCCGCTCCGTGATGTATGGCGGCGCTGGTTGACCTAGACCACGAGGCATACACTGGGGAATTGGTGGGGTCGGCTAGGCAGCGACAAACAGCGTTTGTAGGGGAGAATTCCACTACAATACTCCCCCTTCCCTCCAGGCGGTGTAGGAGACTTGTTGTCTGCAGGGTTGCATAGCACATGTGAGGCAGAACGGGCGGTGCATGCCTCATGTGAGACAACGGCGATGGCGTGGATGAGCCGGTCGCTGGAGACAACTGTCTAGATACACAATATCTGTGGGAGTAGAGAGGGAGAAAAAGGGTGTGTGGAGGCGATGAATGTTGTGCTTCCCTCACGGCAGGTACAGAGTCGTCAGATGCGCCTGCTGGGGTGTGTGGGCCTGGATCAGGAGCAGGGGCTGCGTCAGCAGAAGCGGATGAGGGCTCGTGACAGCAGCAGGTGCAGGACAGTAGCAGGGAGTACCTGAGGGAGAAAAGAGGGGTGTGTGGGTCCGCACTCAGGAACAGGGGCCGCGTCAGGAGAAGCGGCGGGGGTACTGCTGGGCCGGGGTCGGCGTCTGAGGCAGGACGGGTGTGTTGGTCCGTGTCAGGAGCAGGGGCATCAGGGGTGGCAGGGGTTACTGCTGGGCCGGGGGAGGCGTCTGAGGCAGGACGGGTGTGCTGGGGTCGGTAGGACGTGGTGCTTGGGGCAGGAAGAGGAGCTGGTGTCTGCTTAGAGAAGCAGTGCTGCTCTAGGGTGTCTAACCTGCGGTGTAGAGACAGTAGTTGTAGAGCCGATGAGAGCTGCCTCTGTGTGGATAAGCCAGTCTTCCATGTTGCTTGAAGACTGGGAGAGTGATCGTTTCTCCTCCATCCTGTGTGAGTGCGAATCTCCGGGGGTCACCATTTGTAGGGTTATGAGATATTGGGTTCACACTCAGGATGGGATGGAGAAAGGAAACTCACAATGTGCTCACTGTATACATATTGTATTGGATGTACAATGCAGCTTGGTGCTGAGTAGGTAGCATGGTAATAAGCATTGAGTAGAGAGCTGGGTGGTGAGGGTGCCCAGAGGAGGGACACGCGGCTTGAGGGGCGCCAAGGTCGCTGGCGGGAGCGGAAGCCGCCGGGCTGGCGCGGAGGAGGAGGTGTTGCTTGCTGGTGGCACTGTGTAGAAAGAGAGACTGGTCACAGCGGTGTCAGGCCTTATAAGGCGGGGGTAGGCGTTGGTAGATAGTTGACCCCCCTCCGTGGGCGGTGCTGGAGGCGTAGGCTGGGGAATTCGAGAAGGTTCGGTGCTTGTAGGGGAGGAATCCACTACAACATCATCCTGCTGCCATTCTTATTCATGAATCATTTTAAGGTAGGTTCATAATCTGCAGCATGGATTTTCTTAAAATAAAACTATTCCAATAATTTCCGAATCTAAAAAAAAAGCAACTAAAACGTGTTTGTTTGCTTGTTTGTTTGTTTTTTGTTGAAAGGAAGTAGGCAGCTACCAAACAGGGAGGTACTACCGCCTGGGAAGATATTGGAAGCATAATGTATTGTCTAATGGTAGACCCTGCTGTCATATGGCTTAATTTACACACAATTACAGGGTGTCAACTGTATTGTAGCGTACTGTCGTGGCGGGTTGTCAGAGTCTCTTATTTGGCCTCACAATGTACATACATGAAATATATCCAACACTCAGGATTGAGGTAGAAATAGAAAATCACAGTGTTTCTCGTATATATATTGTTGCACAGCACAGTGTTAAAGAGATACTAAGTCGGGCGAAGCTTGCTCAGAGTTCCTGTAGGGCGAGGAGCTTTCTGAGGGAGCGTGTGTATGGAGCTGTTGAGAGATGTTGCTTGCTGGTGGCGGTAAGTAGAAAGAGAGCAATGAAGGACAGGTGAGGTCTTATATAACCGCGGTACGCATGGCTTGACGGTAGGCCCCCGCTTTGACCACGAGGGATACGCCGGTAGATTCGCGGGGGGTCGGCCAGTCAGCGACACACGGCGTTTTTAGGGGAGGACTCCACTACAGTATCTCTTACTATTGACAACACAACAAATATAACCGTACTCATTCTTGATCCATTTTATTCATTCTATTTTATTCTCCTATGTCAGTTGATATTAATATTGAAGCAAGGCCTTCTCGGATGGGTCCCACTGGTCGGGAAGGCTGTGGACCCCAGGACCGACCTGATCATCATTAAGTTACTGGGGCCTCAACTGACGCCACCGCGGTTGCTGGAGGATCGGCTTTTTTCAAACTTAATTTTTCCAACATTCATGGCCTGAGATCCAATTTTCCTTCTGTGGAGCACCATCTATTAACCTCTTCCCCTGACTTCTTACTAATTTCCGAACTTCAACTGACTAAAGCAGCTTCTCTCAAACCTTTTCAAGTCTCCAAGTTGGAGACTTGAAAAGGTTGGAGACTCCAACTACAACCTTTATACCTCCTTCCGTTCTAAGGGAGGTGTATGAGCCTACTGCAACACACGCACACCCATAGCCCGACTCACGGACCTTGAATCTTCCCTTTATGGTGTCATCCGACTCAAAATATCTCTACC